AAGTGTTGAGCCCCAGCCTTGCAGCAAGAAGTGACCCAGAACAGCAGGGATACTGCTCTGGCAGAAGCGTGGATGGAGGCCAGCATGTGAACAGGGCGGGAGCAGAAGCTTAAACCTTTCACATCGGTGAAACTAAGGCTATCACTAAGATGACTCAGCATGGAAAACCAGTAGTAATTCATTTTCTGGCAGTGAGCTAGAAGGAAGCACTTCTGAAAGGGCTACAAAACTAATGCAGTAAAAAACAGTTTTAAAATGCTTTTGTATCTTGTATGTACCAGAACAACATCATGTTAATGGAAAATTCATGCTTCACCCCTTCTGAAACAGGAAGTAAGATTTGGCTACAAATTACATTTCCCAAAGGCATACCTAAGTCTCAGAAATTATTACTGACATGGCACCTTAACTTTGTACCATTGCACAAGATACCTACTTACTTGTTTTAAAGCAGTGTGACATATAACATCACCCTCCTTCTTACATATTGAAGTAAAGCAGCCTGGCACAGAATATCTCCAGTCAGCACTGAATCCCGTAACAACGCTTTAGTTTAACTTGAGCCAATACCAAGTACCATATGATAGGTCAAAACCCCTTCCCTTGGTGCCTCAACCAGGAAAACAGGGTGAGACAGAAGTAATGGAATTATGGTTGTACTAACAGAAGTGCTGATTGCCCTCATTTTTCTCCCCACTGCATTTTATCTCGGTTCATTTAAAGGAGTCCCCTGAGGGACACTCAGCACTCTGAAAAAATTACTATGAAAAGGTCCTGAGTAGATACCTGATCCACCATTAGGTATGTGAAGTCCTACAACAACAAACATACATTAGTATATAACCACAGGTTATTTATAGACGGTGGTTATGTAGAGCTTAAACTTCTGCTTTTATGAACTAGTCCTGATGTTAGAGCCAAGGTGGCTAAAGCAGCAATGTCTTCTTGCCTTTATGATTACACATCAACTTTTCCTAAAAGCTCTTCTTTTTTTAAGATGTACAATGCAACAAAATAAAACAGCATCCTACAGTTTTGTGAGTCTAAGCCTACCAATCCTCTTGAGATTTTGTATCTTTCTCAGTATTCTGTGCTGAGGTGGAAGAGAGGTGTGAGTCCTTGCAAGTGAGTTATGTGACCCTTGATACCTGGAATAGGGTGTTTCTGTTCTAAGAAATGGTTTGCTCCATTAAGAAAAGAGTTTCACACTCATCTGGGTGGAAAGCAGAACCATTTAATGAACACCCCCCGAGACTATTTTCAATGGAAGAACTGCTTTTGGGCATCTCTAGCCACAGTCTGTGATATACAGCATAGCGCTGGAGAGATGCTGTAGGTCTGGGTTGCATGTGGACCTCTGAGAGCAACCACTCCTTCCTCCCATAGTTTCTATTCAGTTTTAAACTTGAGTTCCATCAGAAACAATGGGAAGCTAGCATCCACTTTACTTGAGAATACCCTTGTTTCCATGCCTAAAATCAAGCAATGCAACAGCCACCCCACAGGCACTTACAAAAAGCTGAAGTACTACTTGCAGTGTTGTTCCCCTTAAAAGCACCAACTTGGAATCTAATTTCTTACACATAAACTAGAGAATTAACCAGAAATGTAACTTGAGTGTTTTACAGGGCAGTACAGTATTTGTGACATAGATAAACATAAAAGAAAACTCGGTTTCTCAAGTAGCTTGTTTAATTTGAGCTAAGCAGCATGAACTCCCTGGAATGACAACCTGTCTCTCTTCCTAGTTTTAATACAAAACTAGTCACAGGTTGATAAAACCAACCAAAACTCGTACTAGCACAGTTAACTTACACTGGTCTGCTAAGTTTGGTATCAGAAATCTGTAAAGTATTTATTGAGGCAATAAACTTCCCTCCTTATGGGGAAGAGATACCCCTATACTAGCACCCTCCTAAAACCAAGTTCTGACAGATTATAGGAAGAGATTCAGTCACCCAAACGAAGGTATCGGTGCCACCCAGTGTCCTGCTCTATCTACTGCTCCAGAACATGGCAAGTGCAACAGCTGACAATTACACGTGTGCCCTGCTGAGCCAAGTCATTTAAAATGCAACTGTGCACCTATGCTCAGGTAGCTAAATCTCACCTGTGGAGAGCTGAAAAATAAAATCATCACTCTGAAGCAAATCCTCAGCAAAGGGAGAGAGCTCACAAGTCATCTTAGTATTTTTCAAGAAAATCCAAGTGGTTTTCAACTACCTTATTTATACATGGCATCTCATTTCAGTGAATGTGGCACGGGTGGATACAGACCCATCAGCACATTAATGTATTTACACTTTTACTGCTCATACTTGGCTCCCTGATGCTGCAGTCATGTGCTTCATGTATTCACTGAAGTCTCAGCACATTCCCATTATACTTTATTCATGCCAGCAGTCAGAGCTTTCCAGTTACAGGAAATGTAACATTTTGGTGGCAAAAAAGAACTTTCCACTTCACCTGCCCCCACTTCCTTACCCCAGTGTGATAGGATATATAGCACACTGTGTCATATGGAAACCACAGCTGATGCCTCAAGACATGCTCCTAACCTCCCATCTTTTCTTGGGAAGGATCAGGAACAGACTTTGGGCCAGACACACTTAAGAACCATCCCACTCCCAGGCAACTCTTCTGCACACCACAGCATACATGCACAAATAACAAATGCAAGTCTACCATTGGAAGAGAGAACAGCTGAGAATGTAAGAAACTGCCTTGGGAGAGGGCTGCTAAAAAAAATCCTAGCCCTACCCTAGAAGAGCTGCTGTGAAAGCAGGTTGATACAACAATGGACCAGAGGCAAAATTCACTACCTTGTCACTTCATTGACTCCATTCTCTCTCTAGTTCTTGCACAGACCATCAGAAAACCAAAATATTACTTTGTATTTAGGAAGGCACAAGACATTTTTAACAGACATTAAGTTGCTGGAGCAGGCCCAGAGAAGGGCAACAAAGCTGGTGGAGTATCTAGAAAACAAGTCTTATGAGGAACTGTTGAGGGAACTGGGGCTGTTTAGTCTGGAGAAGGCTCAAGGGGAGTATCACTCTCTACAACTGCTTGAAAGGAGGATGGAGAGAGGTGTCTAATCTCTTCTCCCAGGTAACAAGTGATAGGAAAAGAGTTAACAGCCTCAAGCTGCACTAGGGAAAGCTTAGATGTTAGGAAAACTTTCCTTCAACTGAAAGGGTGGTCAGGCATTAGAGCAGGCTGTGCAAGGAAATGGTGGGATCACCATCCCTGGAAGTGTTCAGAAACTCTGCAGATGAGGCCCTGAGTGACATGGTTTAGTGGTGGACTTGGCATCCTGGGGTAATGGTTGCAGTTGATAATTTTAAGTCTTTTCCAACCTAGCTGATTCTATGATTCCATAAAGCATGTCTTCATACTACTGATAACCTGTACCTACCTAATAAACCTGGTATCAAATACAGCAGTATCGAATCACATTTTAGACCTAAATAAAGTAATGACCTATGGCTATTTAGCTGGAAGAATGAAGGCTGGCTACTAATCCTAGCACTAAGATGATAATACTAGTACTTTGCATTTATTACCTCCCCAAGTGAAGGAGTACATGAAGTGTTTTGAACAGACTATGGCATTTCTATTTTTTAAATTGCAGATCAAGAGATCAAGGCCCAATCTCCAAATTACCTGGATGCCTAAAAATACCCGTTGGTGCTTAACCAGTTTCTTCAGAAGCAGGTCAGCATTTCTGTACACTAGCCAAACACATTCATTCAGTGCATTCAGGAAGAACTCTTTGGACTAAACTTCACCATGGTGGTGTAGTATCATCCTAGCACTCTGCAGTTAGGTGTGCTCATCCTCATGCTCCCAAACTAACGTAAGTTGGTATCCAAGTTCCTAGAATTTGGAGTTACAGAAATGAGTTTCCAAACCATGGAAGATGCAGTCTCTGAAACAGACCCATTTATGACTCTTCTGGTGGAGCACTAAGAGAATTTGGAAGAACTACAGCTAACTCACTTTTAAAAAGGAGAAGCACTACACAAAAATTAATGTGTTTACTTTCAGCACCATGTGAGGTAGAAGTACTTTACAAATGGAGAAACTGAATATAGGAATGTAGGTGAAATAAGGGAACACAACATATAATGCAAAATCAGAAACAAAAGTCAAGCTGCTTCATCGAAGTACTTTTTGATGAAACAGAATTTACCTTTAGAGTGCCCTTGACAATATTAAGTAGGTCTGAAACCAGGCTTTGAGAATAAACACTGTACTTTGTATAAATATAGAGAAAATAACATGACTTGTTAAATAGCCTAGTATATAAAATACCTAGAACTATGTGTATTAGTACAAATGAAGAAGTTTAAATTTTAATGGATGAAAGTATTAGCACCCTAGAGTACATTCATTACATTAGGTTTTCCCCTCAGGAGTGTGATTCATCCTAGCTAAGCAAAAGTGGCTTTACACCTTTTCCTCATCGCATTCTGAATTCCACACCTTTCCCTCCTGCAAATCATTCCCTTCTACACTTTTTCCACACACTTTATAGCTCAAGATCACAGCTAATATTTAATCAACATAACTTTGAAATAATCGGTTTACTCCCACCGTATAAAGAGCTCCCAGGTCACCCACACAAAGTTTCACAATGACAAACAGCCATGTTTCAAATTAATAACATTTTTTTCATAAATCCCTTTTAAGATAAGGTCAAAACCAGTACTGCCAGTTCAGATCCAATTTACGTGTTGTTTTTCCTCAGGGGTTTATCCAAAGCTCCTTGTAAAAAAAGTGACAAAGTCAACATTGCCATCCTAACTACAAAGTGTAAGCTAGAATCCTAAAGTCAGAACGATAAAAACTAAGGAAGTTCTTGCTGTAAACAGCTGTCTAAGCAAAACAAGATGCTGTGCAAAAAGGGTACTAGTCTTCAAGAAGAGTTTGGGTTTCTGCTTTTAATGCTTGCACTGGTTGAACCATCACTGCAGTCTTTTGTTACTCAGAAAAACTGTATTAATGAAAATAAGCAATATTTTATTTCAATACCAGATTTATGGTTTGTGTGTTACACTGGGGTTGGCTTGACTGATATTAATCAGGTATGTCTGAAACACAAAGTAACATAAATTAGACATTCCATGAGACATGTACAATTCTTTTCTACCAAGATGTGGATAGTTAAACCCACTTACATGCCAATTCTTTTACACTTTTTAATGGTGATAGTAACTAGTATTTTAGTAAGAGGGTAAAATTCAATAAAACTTATAAGGACAGCCATACAACTCAAAGATGACATTTGCACAGCTTCCGATTCCACTGTGAAAATATACCCCTCCAAAATAGAAATAGGCACTTCATCTTTAAAAATGAAGCACACTCTTTTGTTCTTCAGTCATCATCAACAGTTGGCTTGATTGTCACTCCTCTTCTGATCTGACCCCAACCAATTAAACTGCAAAAAGAAAAACAGTTTATATTACTTTCAATAGCACTCAGAAATATCCTGAGTAAATCAACATCCTTCTGTCATTCTTATCCCTTCAGTTCTCACAAATTGATTTTTTTTCCACTTGTCTCCCACCCAAAACATCCTACAAGACTTAAGACAAAATGACTGCTACTGCTAAACCCAGGACAACTGGTTACTGGAAACACTGCATAAAAAAAGGATGAGGGACAGAGAACATTTGCATGTTTGTAACCAGCTAAGGATGTACCTTTGAACAATAAACTAAAAATCTGACAGTGTTGTAACATGATGTACTGGTGGACTGCAAATCTGTTCACAGCTTCATCTCTTTTTACCTTTGCCTGAAGTGCTGCATTACATTCAAACGGAAATGAAAACACTGAAATTCAGATAAGATGACAGCAAAATTACAGAGCTGTTAACTCTCAACGAACATGTAACCTATAAAGGTTAACTCAACTCTTGGGTAAGTTCTACTATTTACAGTCAATAAAATTAAGGGCCCTTTTATAGACAGCTGTTACCTCAGAAAAATATGCCTTTTAAAATAAATGATGTCCATTTCCACAGCCAGCAGGCAGCCCATGTTATTGACACAACTGCTTGTAAAACATTTGCAGTTTCTGGCAAGGAGATATGCAGAAACCACATGTGCATCTCAATTTAATTTGCTAAGCAGCAGAGCTGCTCTCTGGACACCAGAAAAGGAAATGAAGTGTATTAGCCCAACACTTCCCACTTTTTAGGACCATATCCATAGGTTATTAACTACTCCACCTCTGAATTTACTGTTGCTTGGAATCACTAGTGTATCCTGTTTGCTTGGCCACTTGTTTAATCTCTGTGCCTTTATATATATTTATTCTCTAATTTGTACCTAATTTTCATCTGTTGCTTTCACACTATCTTCCATCTTTTCAGTACTCCATTGCCTCAGGCTAAACAGTATCAACTGTACATTATCTTTATTTCAATTGGATTTTATTATGCCGGTCCTCCAAGTTTGCCTCCTCTTCCCATTTCTCAACCTTCAGTCTCCTTATGTTGTCTCTGTCCTTTTAATACAGCATAGAAGGCAACTTTTTAGTAACATAATCTTTATAACAGGCTGCCACTACTTGTCCAACCCATAATCCAGAGGCAAGTGAGTTTTTTGGCAAAATCTGGCCATGTTTTTCAAGTGGAAAGTAATCTTCAGCAGCAACAAAACCCATAATCAGATTTGCAAAGGCTACCAGTCTCTAGCTTAAAAAATAAAACAAAACAACCCCCCAAAAAAGGAAGCAAAGCATAATTTCCAATATAAAACAGTTTCTCCTTTTCCTTCCGTTTCCCCTGACTTAATTCGGGTCCTGTCTATTTTTCTTTTCTCCTGTTCAAGGCATGTTATCTTTTTCCTTGTTTTTGTCATGGAATAATCTCTTCCCTAATTTGTCAGCTAGCTCTGACAGCAAGCACTAAGTTCCCATCTATGCTTTCTTGTTGATCTGAAAAACTGCATCTCAGATATTTAAAGCTTGGGTTTTTTATGCAGTGCACACTTCTTGTAAAAATGGCTATGTTCTCTTATAGTATACAGGAGCTGTGCAGGGTCAACAAATCTAAATACCAATATGTTCTTATGATACTCATGTGGTCTTATGGAACACTTAATAGATACAGTATGCATAATCATCTAAAAAGAAGTATGGGCCTAAGATTAGAATGAATCATGAACCAATTCTGCTCATCATTTTCAGCCTCCAGATGCTTCTATGCAGTCATTCTGTATTTGTAATGAGAATGGGCCAATCCAGTTGATACTTTTTTCCCTCTCTGCTCATAGTACATAAAATATTTAAACCTCAGAATGTCCCTCCTCTGTTCCCCTCCTACTACTGCGAGATTGTGCTAGAAGTCACATACAGCTCCACAGGTAGAACATCACTGACTTAGGTGTATATAAAGACAGGCTTTGGCTTATCATTATTAGAATTTCCAAACCACTGGATGAAGATTGCCTACTGTTAGCTCAATTTACAGCTTGCGCAACAAATCACAAACCTCAGCTGTTTCCTCATCTGTAGGTATCTACCCAATTAATAATGATGCTTTAAAAAAAGGAGGCTAATAATGATATTAAGCATTCCACAATAATGGCATCCGTATCTTAGGAGAATCCAGAGGAATTTTTGAAACAGACATACACTTACCTATTCTAGAAGAAAATCAGATCCAGGTATTTTTTTGTTAACAATAACACAACCAGGTGCTCTACCTATTTAGCACCAACTTACCGCCAGTGTTTCTCAACTCTTCGACTCAGGGCGATTTTTTCTCCCACTTCTGTGCATACTGGGTTAGTTAGCATAATCTTCCCCAAATCAGCCTTTACTGCACTAACTCTCCCTCCAGTAGACAAGGATCCTATGTTTACCATTAAAACTTCATTCCTCGATAATTTTTGCACCTGAAGGCAGATATACAAAACTCTGAAACATAAGCTTTAGTATTAAAAAAAAAACAACCCACAGACAATATTGAGTATTTTCTCTCACCTACCTGCCACAGAAAATGAAAAGATACAGCTGAGGAATGTAACAACTATAAATACACACACAAGCCATGCAGAGTCAGTAGATAAAGCTTACATGTGAGAGGATAAATATGCAAATACATTGTGTATGTAGTACTGCGAGTCCTTGGTATGATACACTTTCTTGGGATTTCTGTACATTTTCTATAAGACATCCTGATGATTGCACATACTACACTAAAGTGGAAACAGTCTCGGATATTGCTACAAATTGGAACATGATACCATTCCTTTATATTACATGGATATTCTCATTTTCCTTATGCCTACTTCCATCAAAATGATTTCTCAAAAAAAGAATTGATTTCACAGGATAAAGAGAGCGCTGAAGCACTTACTGTTCCATGAAATGTTGCATTAAACTGTTTTAATGAAACATTAGAATCTAATTCTAGATTTTAATGCTAACAAAGAAAACTATGATATTTTAGTTTGATTTCTGTAAAATGGACCATGGAAAACAAGACTCTGCCATACATCAAGTTCAGTTTCTTTTCAACAACAGCATTTCAAAAATACTTAGCTTTAAAAAGTTCTTAACAGAGAGAATCTACAAAAAGCATGTAACTAGGAAGTAGATCCATACCTATATAAAACTATTGCACAAATAGGCTAACAACAAAGGACAACAACCATCAGTATGTTCCAAAGTATACCTAACTTTAGGACATAAATACTTTTTGCTACTTTAAAATACTCTGATATGAATTCCTACTTCTGTGAAAAGCATTCTTCTGTAATACTAGCTAAGCAGGTAAGCTTAGTGACAAACATAAAAAGGAGACAAAATTACTGCATAAGACCAAAACAATGTATATACTAATAAAACTTAGAAAAGAAAGCAGGAAAAAAAAACCCCAAACCCAGAAAAAGTGGTACAGACCTTAGCAGCTTTCTTGTCTCCTTCAGTGCGCACACCTAATAGTCGTCTCAGCAAGAAATAGGAAATCTCCAGCTCTGTAAATATTTCTGGCAGCGCTCCAACGGCACCAAGGACCTGACCTACCATTCGGTCAGCCCGACACAGTGTTGGATCAATCTTAGTTCCAACACCTACAACACAACAAAGGAGATCACAAAGAGTTAACTGAAAGGCAGCTGTCAGGTTGACTTAGAGAACATGTGAAAATGACAAACAGAATGTATTGGGAATTCCCTACTACTTGGAGCAGCACTTTCAGAATGTCAGCAAGACTATAAGCTCTTTCTAAACATATGAAGAAACATTCTACTGCTAAAGCTGCTATAATTAGCACTGTGAGTTAATCTGCGCTGGCCAGTGACATTCGGGAAATATTTATTAACTATCTGATTTTCACGCTCACGTTGTATCTCCCTCTATACATATGAATTATCTGAAATTCTTCATAGGCTTTTTGTTTACTACACTGATTTATTGTTAAATGAAACCAAATGTTTTCACTTCATAAGCATGAAGAAATAAAACTTTTCACAAGAGAATATTCTTACCTATAAGACCTCCTGGAGCAGCATATTGTAGATCATTGTGTTCAGCAAAGAGTGACACAATTTTGGAAAAGATTGGCTTGCACATGAGTTTTCCTTCACTGTCCTTAGACACAATACCAGGCCGGACCTCAATTTCCTGGCCCACCTAATTAGGAAAGTGAAAAAGTGATTAACTAGTGGTTTCACAGGAACACAAAGCTAACTACTAGTCACAGACAAGACCCACATATCCCAAGATCTACTATTTATACAAGTCCTTGGTTCTGGGCTGCTGCAGAACTCCTAAGACTTCTGTTGTGCTGCTTACTGCAACCCGAACAATACTGAAAGCTCTGTATCTCACAGCCAATATAACAATCAATTTTCTTTTCAATATAATTTGTAAAACTCCTCGAACAAAGGATCTTTATCAGCAATAATGCCAGCATTGTAATTTTAGATTTTTTTTTTTTTAAATAACATGTCATTTAGAAATGTTATAGCATTGAGAAAAAATAAGTTAATTTGACTGGTGTAACTGATCAGCATTGATAAACCACAAGACAAAGAAAATACAAGTTGCATAAATGTTCCAAGATACGGTTTGCTTTCCAGTCTAGCAAAGCAACTTTTACTGTTGACAATATCCCATAAGCAAAGTAAAAATTTCAAAATATACAGAATACTTAAATGATGAAGTGGGACCTGTGGGAACCCACACGTTTCCAAGGTTCTTTTAAAGTTCTTTTGCTCTCCCTTTCCCCCTGTAATTCAGCAAGTAAAAGTGGTAGGGCAGAAAAACCAAAGAAAAAAGGCACTCTCAATTTTTGTAAGCAATGAAATCAGTATCATGATTAGAAAAAGACTGCAGTAACAAAATACATTTAAAAATAAAAAGCAGTGTAAAACAGGAAGGCAAAAATGAGGCACAGACAGAAAGGGTAACTGCCATCTGACTGTGCTCTTTTTTTTAAATAAAATCATTTGTATAGATTCATTTTGTACTAAACATGGAAAGCATCTACTCGTTATCAATATAAATCCCCAGACACAAAAGGGAAAAGGTTACCTTTAGAACACCCTTTAGAATACTGCCACCAGCTACACCTCCCTTAAGGTCATCAACTTCACAGCCAGGCTTGTTGACATCAAAAGACCTAATTACTGAAAAACACAGACCAGGTTTATACTTGAGATCAGGTTCTTAAAGAATGAGTGTCTTTAGCAACTTTGCTTCCCTATTCTAATGAAGGTATCCACATATTTATAAATATTACAAAAATGTAACTCAGGAACAACACTAAAATACAATGAATATTTTAGTCCCAATTTTTAAGTAAATAGTTGACTTCTCAAAAAAAGCTGCTCATGTACACAAATATTTTAAATAATTGTTTCTGCATAGCAGAAGTTAAAGATCTGAAAAAGATAGCAACGATAAAAATATTACAAAACCTCTTCAATATTCACAATGTTAAATGTGAATATTGTAACCTTGTTTAATGTGGTTGATTTTTCTGCATTTTTAGCATGATTTTTAGGTTTCCCATGTTTCATGTGGAAAAGAAAAGGCACACAAATTGCTTTATCGTAGTGGAACTGAATTTCATATATGCTGGACAAGAACAAAGACCGACAATTCTGAGACAGGAGATTAACACAGAAAATATAACCAGGCTACCAGTAAGTTTTTTACGGAAATAATTTAATTTTCAAATTCAACAGTTTTTCAGTACTTTGTTAAATCAAATTTAAGTTGATAGGAATTTAAGGGAATGTTTTAAGACACAGAAATTTCTCATCCTTACTGCATTTTAGTGCTGTCATACACAGAAAATACAGAAAACCTAGCAGTTACCTCAAATAGATTGAGCTATAGCAGTTGACTATGAGCAAACAATACAGCTCTAGGAAAATATGCAAGTTTAAAATAAACAGCACACTAAATAAATAAATAAAAGCATACTAAACACTCCTTTTAAATCTACCTCTTTTTAATGCATTCAGCTCATCCTATTTTAAGTGTAGATACCTGTGGGAAACGGTTAGCCACAAAAGGCCAGACCTAAGTATCTACGTACCAATAAGCCTTGGCTCAGATGTGAAGTCTCGCAGTGGGACTGGGATTTTTTTCACTATATACTCGCAAACTACCTCAATGTTGTATTTCAGCTGCGCTGAGATTGGAATTATTGGAGCTCCTTCTGCAACTGTACCTGAATCAAAATAAAATTCAACATCAAGCCTTAACACAGTGTTTACGGTACCATGACCAAGTGTTCTGTCATTCACAAAAATACTAATGAATTTCAATGCACACTTTATGTGTGTTTCCCAAAGTAGTAAGTATCAGAGCATTTACCTTTCCCTCCAACATTTTAGTTCAAACCAGCCAGACTTACTTTCGGGGGCATTCTGAAACAACCCTTATATTGCCTTTGGGTAACTATACAGAAGAATTTTACAGCTGCTCTCTAAACATTATGCAAGGTAATCTTCTGCTCTTAAGAGAGAATTCACTTCCTACATTGTGATCAGAAATATTCTTAAGAGAACTTCCTCAGATAAATCAGATATCTCGCTACTGCATACAGCAGTATTAATTTTACAGTCAGATTTTATTCTGATAAACTAAAATACCTATCAATTTAATGATACATGTTTTCTAAGTTCTGCAATACAAATACATATTTTTTAAAAATTGTAATTTTGTGGAAGGATGCATTTAGCTAGTTATCGAGACTTGTTAAATATTACTAGTTTTAATTCTATTTCTTTTACGGTAACTCAAATTCTCAAACTCCAAATGTACCCATTAAGCCTGACATAGCTGTTATGAACAGCTTACACATGGCAAGAATTCTGAACTACAAATAACAAATAAACAAAACAAAACAAAAATCCAAAAGACCCACTGGTGACTTCTGATGCTGACAATCTAGCTCTGCAGCTTCTTACATAACTCAGCTGAAGCAGATAAGCAGGGAAAACAGTGAAAGCTTCTGGGAAATACGACACTCAGAGCACTAAAGCTGAGCAGGACACGGAACATTAGAGTAGAATAACACTGTGTGCGCTGGACTTAAAGAAAGAAAGACCAATCTTTTGTGATTAGATGAAAGAACACATTTATACCTACAAGGTGCCCTAACGAGCACTGCTTCATTCTCTCTTGTACTGCAGTAAAATCACAGTACAGCTTCTATCAAAGAATCAAGCCAAGAAGCAATACCAAGAAACCACCGCAGATTCAGTATAAGCTACTAGATAAGAGCTATTGCTGTCAGTTGTACATAAAGAGCTCTGACCAACAGCCTTAACACTACTGTATGTAAGCAGTCTGAAAAAGGTAAGAAGCACAACTCCAGTGCTCTGGTTTTAGATTAACAGACTGTGTACACTATCATTATTTAAGGAACAGAACCTCTTCTACAAACGTATAGAAAAGTACTATGTCTATGTCCCAACACCAAAGAATTTCCACCACTAACTATATCTCTGCTGTTGAAAACTTACCTTGTACAAATGCAAGAATCTGTTCATACTGTTCTTTAGCCTGGCTCTCCTTCACCAAATCAATCTTATTCTGTAGAATCAAAATGTGTTTCAATTTCATGATTTCTATAGCAGCTAGATGTTCTGAGGTCTGGGGTTGAGGGCATGACTCATTACCAGCTGAAAGAAAAGTGATTGTAATATAGAAACTACAAAGATATACAAAACTCCCACAGTTAAGACATTACTTTCCATTGTATTTTTATAAAAGATAACTCTCTCAGTCACCTCTCAGTAAGCTACACACAAAGCAACCAAGTTAATAAGCACCTACTCTTCCCCAGAACTGACGGCTATAGCATCCACACAATATATGACAGAAGAGAGGTTCCCTGAGAGGTTCCCTCATTCTACTTGCTCCCAGGGGAAACACACATCTAAACTTTCCAAAGATAATGACAGATTTGTGTCTATTCGACTTACTTCATATCCTTTAGGTCTTCAGACATCTTGGTACTGACTGTGGGATAATGGACAGTTTACCTTTTCTTAAAATTCTATGGTATTTTGTTATCACTAAGGCTATAAAAATGCCAAGATCCCCAAACTCTGTAACACACGATAGAGTATGTGAATAGGGTAGCTGTCAGCACGGTTTGGATTTCACCCCCCAGGAAGCCAACTTTGGCCTGATGTGCCATTATGGTGGTTAATCTCACTTGAAGATTGGTCTAGCACACTTTCTAGATCAAAACAGGCAGAAGGAATGACAGCTCATCACCTGTCTCAGACTATTTAAGCTGTAATATCTGAAGCTGTTTTTCTTCGTTGTTGACATGTCCCATCCAGGTAAGATAATTACCATTTATCATTGCAGAGTACTAATACCTATGTTCTATTATAGAACACTTGTACCTCTACAGAACACTACGTTCTACAGACATACAAAAATAAGTTTTACACAATTCCTGTCGGTTGCAAATCAGAACAGAAAATGTCTGATCCAAGATAAATCTTCTATAATTCAATTTTTTTCTGTATTCATCTGGGTTTGCTGTCTGTATGGATGGTCATGGACTCTCCTGAATGACAAAGGCTACATACATATTTAAAACAAACTGAACCTTCAGAGAAACTCAAAATGTACCCACAGCTAATCTATTTCAATAAAATAATACAGATTTTACAGCACTATACAACGGTTCCTCTTATCTAACTAATCTTCCATCAGCTTGGCCAGCTACCACACTAATGAGTATGTATAGCAATGTTTTTTTAAACCCCAGTTTGTTAGGGTTCATTTTCATCATAGCATCACTTTATTTTCTTAAACATATCTCAAAAGTATTCACTTGTTTTAACTGCTCACCCACCCCACTAAATTTTAAAAACCATACAATGTTGCATCATGATATTAAAAAAATAGAGCTGTGCGTTTGTGTTGCAATCATTACCTATCAACAGTAAAGCTGCATCCATCACTGCTGCACCGTTCAACATGGTAGCCATCAAAATATCATGGCCAGGACAATCCACAAAAGAAACATGCCTGTTGCAGAAGGAGGTTAAAAAGAAATCCAAAAGACAATTATCAACAATTTATATGGCTGATTTATGTAAGCAGCTAGGCAGACATAAAAGTGAAAAGCATTTTTAAAATAGATAAATAAACATGTCAAAACATGCTGAGAAGCAATACCTTGACAGTATTTTCATAAACGTTCAAAAAGAACACAAAGATTACTGAATGGCTACTGAATAGTTTTTCTAATATTTGACATACATCCATATTAGATACTGATTTAGTATCTCACAAATTTACTTGTTAATTAGACTAGATTTAAATGCACCAGAACAAAAAAAACCACAACCAACCAAACCCAAAAAACTCCAAACACACCACACAGGATTTCACTTATCTCTTAAAAAAGGACAACTCCCATTCTCCTATTTTAGAAAATTATGAGTCTTTAATTACAGTTGTAATTACATTTCACTTCAAAGACTTATCTACAGAAACAATGTTACATCTTTTAGTACAATCTGTATGATTTTATTGTGCAGACCATAATAGTCAATTAGCTACATCCTCGTGTCCTGGTTTCAGCTGGGATAGAATTATCTTTCTTCCTATTAAGTGGTGCAGTGCTCTGTTTTGGCTTTAGTCTAAGAACAGTGCTGATAACACACCGATGTTTTAGTTGTTGCTCAGTAGTGCTTACCCTGATTAAGGACTTTTCAGTCTCTCATGTTCTGCCACTGAGGAGGGATACAGGAAACCGGGAGGAAGCAGAGACAGAACACCTGACCCAAACTACCCAAAAGGGTATTCCATACCACAGCACGTCAGGCCCAATACATAAACTAGGGGCAGTTATCTGGACAGAGCAGATTACTGCTTGGATGGGCCTGGGTATTGGTGGGTGGTGAGCAAGTGTATTGGGCATCACTTGGGTTTGATGGGGTTGGGTTTGAGGGGGGATTTTGTTTTTTGTTTGTGGTTTTTTTTTTTTTGTTTGTTTGTTTTCTGCTTTGTATTCTCTTTCTCCTCTTGTTATTTCCTTTTTCATCATAATTATTAGTAGTAGTAACATATTGTACTTTTCATTTTTAAACTCTTCTTTCACAGCCTACAGTTTTGGGGTTTTTTTTCCAGCTTTCCTCCCTGTCCCACTGGGTGGTGGGGGCAGGGTGAGGAGGCGAGCAAGCAGCTGTGTGGTACTTATTTGCCAGCTGGGGTTAAACCACAACATCTTGCTTGAACCTATTCAGTGAAGAATCCTGGTTTTCTGGTAGCATGCCACCAAAAAGAAAGTTACTAATTTGCTGCTTCTACTATAAGCAAATAAACCCAAAGCTTTTAGCCAACAATTTAACAATGGCTGCATGACTCACTCTGCAACAGAAGTTATTATCAGAACAAATGCTCTACTGGGAATCTCAGGAAAGGAAGGAAATACTTGATTACAGCACCATGTGTATTTTATACATAAGTATAGGAACCTTGTTATACAACAGTCTTCATGGCTACTCTCATTTGAGCAAGAACTGTAAAGACCCACGTAACAGCTGTTGTGGTTACTATGTTTGCATAGTGACCATGATATGCATTATTAGAAATGAACTAAATAGAGCCCTCATCTCACATTAGGCATCAAGATTTCATATACTCATTAGCAACTTTGATAACCTTTCTGCTTCTAGGAAGAAAAAGTTTAACAAAGGTCACCCTCCAGGAACATATTTAAAAGATGCATTTGTGAGGTCCGTGTTAGTTCTCAATCTAGTAGCTTTGAAATGTACTTATATGAATAGCAGAAAAAATTAACTTCAGTATCTTGCAGATACCTGAGGACAGAAGACATAGCTGTGCTCTACTGTGGACTATGCACGGCAACTAATAAAAACCACAGCAATTCGGGTCATACCTTAGATGAGGGGTGCCCAGCGTCTAAGAACATGAGGTCTCGCATACCAACTCATTCAGCTTTTAGCTCAATCCTGACTATTTTCAGTTAACGCAAAAGGCAGTAAACACAATTTATACCATATGTTTTACAGCAGTTACCTGACTAGTTTAAAGTTCCCTTTGGTGCCAGGAATATCTGTAGGGAACTCATCTGGGGTACTGCTTCCACAGGATCGGTAACACTCTGGCCGGGAACAGCTTGGGTCATCCAGCTTGTAAATCTGTAAGCAATTGTTAAAAATTGAGAAAAAGTTTATTTATCAAGTTTTAGCTATCTGTAAGCTTACAGCCATCCTGAAATATATTAGCAATATATTTGCTAGATTTTAGCAATGACTCACCTTTGCATTAGCATATCCCAGCTTGATTGTGATATTTCTTTCCAGTTCATTTTTAAATCTGACAGTATGAACTCCAGATATAGCTTTGACTACTGTTGACTTCCCATGGGCTACATGACCAATTGTACCTATGTAGTAAAAGCAAATGTCTGTCAATAAACCATCATTTACTTTTGAGTACTGTTCCACTAGTATCAACACATAATTACCCCGAACTCTCTGTAGCCAGAGCTCCCATCAGAAGCATGCATGGGTTTCATAATAATTTTTGTTTAAAGAAATAAAGCCCTCAGCGGACAGGTCTTTGCATTTTCATGAAACTCATTTTAGTGCTTAATTTTAAGGTAAAATAAACTTTGCTTTAGCAACTATTCCCCACTTCATTCAACATGACTCTTAGAGTAAAATTGGTGCTTTCCAAGTTAAAAGGCTTTGAACAAGTCTCTTCCTACAACTTGGTAAAATTTATAACGAACCCACTATATTTATATTAGTCTGATTCAATAAGAATTTCTTAAAAATGTTCTCACATAGATACCATATGCTACTGCATTAGCACCAGAAAGAATCACATTAATGCAACCCTCTTTTTTTAGAAGTTTGCTTTTACCTATATTAATTGTTGCTTGCCTGCTGATGACTTCTGGTGAAAGAGGTGTCAACTTGGTAACATCCTGTGTGAGGGAGATTTTAGAATTTATTCATCTTGCATCTAAAGGTTTAGAAAGTACTCTATGTATTTTCTTAACAATTACCCAGTAGTTCTATTCAGCAAAATACAACCAGGCTTATTAAAATAATTCTAAATATGAGTTCCAGTCTGTTAAGAATGTGAAATAGGAACAAAAGATGAACAAATGCTGGCTGTAAACCAGTACAGGTTCCAATCAAAACACTGACTTTAAGTTGGTATAGGCTGCAAGGTGTAGAAGATGGAAGTAAATAAGAAGCCCTAACACTAAGAAAAGACACCCCAAAAGTTCTGCTGTCCTCAGTAGCCTGTTGCATTTGCACCTGGCAAATCGAACACAAACGCAGTTCATACAGTTAAAAAGACAACTCTAAAAAGTTAGTTTAGGGCTACTTTCTAAGCTGCTTGTCCAAGCATTCAAATGTGGAAATCCACTTAAATGTTCCTCTGTACTATTTTGCAGTTATTTGCAGTTAATTTCTATCCTGCACTGAATTCATATGGATGAGCTACTCAGTTCAAGCAAAGATTCACAATGCCAAGAGTCCTCAGTGCTGGACAAGACAGAAATATTTGCAAACATACAAATAACCCCCCACAAAATAATTTACATTAATTCGTATATTGTTTACAATGTTACATGCAGGTCCTGTGCATAACAATCAAATAAACACATCTGGGTGAAAATGTAAGCTCACTCAGTCTATTCTCAAGTGTTACAGGAACACAATGTTCACATTCCAGACAAAAGATTTGTCCATCTAACACAGAATTAAATTTGTATGTCTTGTATATTTAACTTGAAAGACTACACACGATGAAACCGGTGCTAGGAACATGACCTGCAGATGGCACCATCCAGCAGGCTGACAAGCATATAAGCATGATGCAAAATCCTGTCATCAAGAAAATCGTTCCTGGTGCACACAATTATGCACGCATGCAGTTTTCTCCTCAAGAGAGATGTAAGGCTAAGTTCAGCCATAAGCTCCAGTCCACTGTACAAATGCAAAGACAAAGTGAAAAAACAGAGAGTAGGCCATAAAAGTAATTCCTACTGACCTCCCAACTAGGCCTATGATCTTAGTGTCAAATGCCATGACCAGCAACGAAAAGAAGAAACATTCTGAAATTACTAACTTGCTTCACTTCACGTGCTTCAACATGCTTATCGATAACACAAAAAGAATTCTGCTCAAACACCAAGATTATCAAACATTATTACCATAAATAAGCTTTTCTAACTTGCTGAACACCAGGGAGGCAGCAACAGGATTTTCGACTGGTTTTGTCTGCATATATGTGTAATAAGCGAGACAGTCCAGGCAAGACCACCACAGCAAGAGACCTCTGTAACCGATTTTCTTGACAGTCACGATAACTTTCTTGGTAGATCAACCAATACAAGGCTAGCAACCAATCCATCTAGCCCACTGGGGAAACATAACTCCAGTTTATGGTTCTGCTTCGGGGAGGGAAGAACCTCTAATACTTTGCAGCACAGCCACACTCGCAAGGAGGAAACTGCACGTCTCCACTGCTGTGCCACTAAAGGCTCACTCGCAAGACCGGTACGCCAACCTGCCGAGCCTGGGGCTCACCTCACCAGCAAGCGATGGCCTTTTTCTGCCAACACAAACCCGCTGCGACCAGCCCAATAACCTGCTGCCAGCGCTGCCACTATGCTCAATGAGTACCTTCACCTACCCATTCCTTCAGCCCCGTCCTACTGCCACTCGCCTTCCCTGTCCCGAAGCCACCCGCTTTCCGCTCCCCTTCAGCCCTTACCGGCCCCAGCGGGGCCCGGTGGGAGGCACGGACCCCACCGCCTGCCCGCCCGCCCTGCCGCCAAGGCCCCAACAACCGCATCCACCGCTCCCCGGAGCCCGCAGTCCCTTCCCGATCCCCCGGGCGCCCCGCGGCCGGGTCTCACCAACGTGGCGAGGTCCTGCCGGCTGAGGTGCGGCTGCCCCAGAGTCACTCCCGCCTCGTCCCCCGCCATCTTGGCTCAAAGAGGAAGCTGGGCGGTCTGCGCGTCCGCCTGACCTCCGGCTCTGCGTGGCCCCGCCGCCGCCGGCACTCAGCCCGGTAACCGCCGACCGGTGTGGGCAGACGCCCAGCTCCGGAACCGGCCACGCTGAGCGGCGTGAGGCAGCCACCAGCCTCACTGCGGAGCTGCAGCGACTCAGGCGCGCCGCCGGGCAGCCCCGCGAAAGGACCCCCTTCTCCCTCGCGCCGGGTGATGCAACCAGGGCTGCCACAGGTGCTGCTCCGCGTGCGCTGGCACCGCTAGGGAAGTGCGCGTGCGCGGGGCCGGGGCGGGAAGGCATCATGCGCGTGCTGCCGGGTAACGGCTGTGGGCTGAGTGTGGTGGGGGTCTGCTGGAGGGGGTGTGGGGTTGTAATTAAAATGCACCGCTAAAGATGCGTGTGCTTTCAAACATAGCTTTAGCTACTGCTAAGCAGTAAGTGTCTGGGGAATCCGCTCGTTTACGTGTTTCCGTGGAAAAGGGGTTATTTTTTGCCCGCAGTGGGCCTGCTGTTATGCTGTGTTACTCCTGTGCGTGCTGCGTATGTAACATACTGCCAGTGCCTCGGTAGTGTGATCGGGATGGGGACCTCGCTGGGTTATAAGATAGGACAAAAAAAAAAAAGATTCATTATGTTGGTGCATGTCCAACAGCATGTCAGTGTAGGTTTGTTTAGGGCAGTGAGTGGGTGTGAAGCAGAAAGGAGCATGTTGGTAAAACTCAAAAAAGATATGCTTGTATATAATGGAAATGTGCATATGTAATGTGTGATACACTTATCTGTTTGAACAGTAAAATGTTACTGTACGTACCTTAGTGATTTCTACTGGCCGCCAGCCTGGTGACTTTTTAAATTTCAACCTTGTTATCATGTTTTGGAGGCTGAATGCTTAGTGTCAGGGAGACCACAGGGATACAAGATTGCCCCATGGTATGGAGAGCGATAGTCTGCTGTACCAAACAGCTTAAAACCCAATCAAATGCATGCTGTTTTCAGTCTTGGATGCAATGAATAAATGCTTAAAAAATCGAATGAAATCCCCAATCCATTGATGAGACCCAGCTCAGAAGTTCCACAGAGATCAAAGACCAGATTTACAACCCTACCCTGAGGGAAATTGAATTGACTTCTCCTTCATGGAAACTTCTTAAAGACAGAGGATGTTGTTACTAATATTTCTTCCATCATCAGAGAAACAGGTTTCAATGTAAGTAACCAGTTACAGGAAATAGAGGCACATTCATCAACTGCGGCTTTGCCTTCTGGAAAAAATTATGGTTTAGATTTTTGCCTGGCTAACTGCTTGGGTCAAAAAAACAGGTTTGCTGTAGACAGCCACGTGATTAAAATGTGGTGATAGAAATCTGTGTGAAACTGGTATGCCTGGTTTAACAATGTATGTGGCCTCCCACTTTTGCAAATACTACTGTTTCCGTTCTTTTCAGAGATGAGTTAGGAGTGCGTTTTGCTGGATACAGCACATTGCCAGCGTTCTTGTTTTGAAGAAATATGTGTGGTACAAAACCTCACAGTGTGTATAATGGTGTTGCCAATGACAAAATGTATTTTGTCCTGCAAGCCAGTAGTTTTGTGCATTGGCCTGGAAAATAAATGTTCATATCTAATATTTAATTGGGCCATGTGATGTTTTTGATTTGTCTAAAATATCTCGCTTCTAGGAAAAACAGTAGAAGCTCATGACCAAGATACACAAAATATAGTGGGAGCGTGATGCAATACTTTGTAGTTGCCTCTGCATCCAGGCATATGTAATCATTCGTTTATGAAAATTAACTGAAAATACTAGACTCTAGTTACTTAGCCATTTAAATTATGCAATAACGCAGTGCAGTGTAAAATTATGGAAACAGTTTTTTGTCACATTTGCAGCAGCCTTCAGAAAGGATTTAATACTTGCCAAGAACCCTGTCAGGAATCTGAAAAAAAGAAACAAAAAAAAAAAAGTACACAAACTGTTGCTTCTATTTTAACAATGAGATGATACATTTTGCATGTTCTGGGGTGGTGTCATTACCTTATTTCACTGTATTTGGAAATACTTGTAACACGAAGAAAACCTAGAAAAATCTATAAAGACTGCAAATGTTTATTTCATAGAATCATACAATGGTTTGGGTTGGAAGGGACCTTAAAAGATCACCTAGTTCCAAACCCCCTGCCATGGGCAGGGACACCTTCCCCTAGACAGGTTGCTCAAAGCCGTGTCCAGCCTGGCCTTGAACACTGCTTTATTGGGCAGCCTGTTCCAGTGTCTCACAACTCTCACAGTAAATTGTTCCCTAATATGTAATCTAAATCTACCCTTTTTCAGTTTAAAGCCATCCCCTCTTGTCCTATCCTTACACGCCCTTGTCAAAAGCCCCTTTCCAGATTTCTTATAGGCGCCCTTTAGATACTGGAAGCTGCTGTAAGATCTCCCCAGAGCCTTCTCTTTTCCAGGCCAAACAACCCCAACTACAGTACGAAAAACATTTCCAGGAGTTATCAAGTATATTTCGTGTATATATATAAAAAAAAGAGATTAAAATTACTCAAATGGCAAATAGTCTATTAATGTAACTGAAAACCTTGCATCAGGATTTTTTTCCTTACAATAGTCTCAATTAAGCCAGTGGGAGCTACTTAGTACAATTTCCTAAATCTGAGGGGTCAGCCCAAATCTCTAGGTAAATTAATATTAATTTGGTTGTTGTTGAGGTACCACATTTAACAGTCTCATATTTTTGTTTAGGAGACTATAACTGAAGCATTATTAACATTTTGATTTTTCGGTAGAGGCAAATTTTCCAATGTGAAGGAGAGGAGGGTGGCAGTGTTTTGTGTTTTAAAATGTTAAGAATAAGGATGTCAAAGCTGTTGTTTTGGGTTTTTTTTTTGGTTTTGTTTTTTGCTAGGTTTGAGCTCCTTTTCTGTGGAAGTGTGTAGGAGAGACCTGAATATCATCTTGAGGCACAGCTTGCCACGAACTGCAAACAGCAAAATGACAGTCAGGTAAAACCAACATGGTCCTGCTTAGCTTTTCTCATCCTCTCTGACCTAGGAAGGTCAAAAGTCTGAAGAGGGCAAGAGAATGCACAGAGGTTTGGTTGTATAATTCTGTGTATGAGAAACTTGCTTTTTACTCCCTTTTTTTTTTTTTTTTTCTGAAGCATGAGATGTGAGCGGGTATATGCTTGGTGTGGCGGAAGACATACCGTATGAATAAGGGAGAGAATGTCTTTCCTTTGAGGGTTAGGCAACAGGAACGGTAGCTGTCTGACACAATCTGTACTCAAAGGTCGGTTGTTTTACCGTAAGTGCACGAGTAACAGGAAGATGGGGAAAACTTACTGAGTAAGCGGATGAGATGGAGTAGCATCAAGTGTGCTGAGCAGAGAGTGATAAGGCCGCCGTGATGAAGGAGTGAATGAGAGCAAGTTGATTGTAGTCTAGAGTAAGTAGGCGGTGAGGGAGCGGTAGGAGGGCAGTTGAGGAGAGTGGGAATAGCAGTGGGAAGTCTTTTTGTGAAGCAGTGCGTGGGATTGCTGGTTCTTTGTGTGGAACTGGAGGGTGGGAAGGACAGTCAGCTTGGGGGGGGGGCAGCTATAGAGGAGGCATGCTCTTGTTTTACAAACCGAGAATGGGGTGGGGGTGGCAATGAGAGACTGAAAATAGGCAGTGAAGGAGATGGGAACAGCAATAAACAGGGAGGAGATGGCAGCCTGTGGTCTGCTATTTAAAGCAGTGAGTGACATAGGAGGTGACAGGGAGGTACGTAGTAAGGTAGCAAACGCTGTCGGGGTGACAGTAGCAAACCGAAGGTCTGTGTAATTTAGTTTACCTCAATAAAGTTGGAATTTACAAAGGCAAGATAAAGCAAGGAGGTGATGTTTGTGCCAAGACAAAGCCCTGTTCACCCCAGGCTGGGCTGCAGTTTCCATGCATGCGCAACCTGCATGCAGTTTGTTGCTCAAGGGCAGCTACGCAGAGCGCCCGTGGTGGCTGGCGGCCCTGGCCCCTTGGGCTCACCCAGGGTGACCTGGTTCCCACACCGGCTGGCAGGGCTGCCGGCCTGGGGCCAGAAGGGAGTCAGGATCGGCTGGCAGCACCTGCGGCTGACCCGGCGTCAGGGCAGGCACGCAGCAACCTGCTCGCAGGGGTGGCTGTTTAGCGGGGTGGGTTGCAACTCTACAGGCGAGCGGGGCTTCTGCCCTGGAAAACTGAGTCCTGTGGAAAGGGGCCGTAGTTTGTGGCGGGAACCGGCCTAAGGGCCGAGGGGTGGAAGAAAACCACACATTCTCGAGACACCAAAAGCGGACGGCCGCGGCTGAGCGTCCTTGTGAGCCACATGCAGACGATCCTTGCTGGTGCCGCTTGGCCAGGCCCCCGTCAAGGGACTTCTCCCCGCGGGGCGTGCCCGCTATCCCGGCGGCGACTGGGCCGGCCCGGCGACCGGCTGACTCTTCATGGGGCAGGGAGGTGCAGGTGGGACAGGTCACGCCGCGGGGCGGGGACCGGCCGCTAGGCCGGGCCGGGCCGCCTGAGGCGGGAGCGCGGCGGCGGCGCTTTGCCGCTGCGGGCGCGCACCCTTCTCCTCCGCCCGGGCCCGCAGGTGGCGGCGGAAGTGACGGCCGGCGAGGGGTGCCTCTCGCGGGGGAAGATGGCGGCTGCAGCCGTGCTAAGCAGCGCAGAAGGTAAACAAGTGTGAGCCGCGGGGGACGGGCGGGAGCTGCGCGGACCCCGGGGGCGAGGCCAGGCAGGAGCGACGGTGCCCCGGGCGGCGCAGCGGGGGGCGGTTCCCCACCTCCCCCTGAGCGTGGACCGTAGGGAGGAGGGAGCCCAGGATCCCCCCTTCCTCCGCCTCCTCCGCCTCCTCCTGGCTTTGCCTCAGCCATTGCCCCTCTCTTCAGTCCCCCGGCGCCTCCCTCCGCCGCTGCCGCCCCCGGCTTTATGTTACACAGAGGTACCCCTCTCCGCCGGTACAGCGGGAGGAGCTGCGTCTTCAGTGCCGCCGCTGCCGAGAGGTAGGTGAAGCCGCCACCGAGGTCCTCTGGGCCCTCCCGCCACTGCGTGCCCGACTGGGGGCGGCCCAGGCCCCTTCCTGGTCTTCGGGGACCTTCCTGCCAGGGCTGAGCCGGCCGCGGAGGGTGGAGGTGGTGGGCCGGGTGCCCGCGGGCGCCGGGAGTGGCGGAGGGAGGCAGGGTGTAGCGGGACGGCGGGCACTGCGGGGCTGCGCTGAGCGGTGCCGGACGGGCGGGCGCAGTGAAAGCGTTGAGCGCCCGCGGGGCGGCCGTGCCCCGAGCCGGGCGCCTCGGGCTCTTTGCCCTCGGTCTCTGACTCAGAGCCCGCCTGCCCACTTCGTTGAGTAACTCGGCCTCCGAGCTTTCGCTCACAGCAGAGTGGTGCAAAACGTGTCAAACCGATAAGCTGAAGTAGGTCATCTGAGTTCGTTCCCCGAAAATGGCTATTTCGCGATCAGTAGCATTGGAAGAGAAAAAAGTATCTCTGAGCTGAACGAGTAGATTGCTGCCCAGGAATTGGTACTGAAGCTTTGGCTTATTTGGGAAATACTTAAATGTTGCTTACAAATATCAAGTTCTTGGGGGGGTGGGGTGGTGTGCTATTCGGTTGTTTTTTCCCCTCTCCTTTAGAATAATAGGGGAACCGTAAAACTGTTACTGGATAAAAGGGCAGAACTACTGAAGTCTGGCTTCCTGTTAACTTCTTTGTTGTGTATACCCGTCCCTAGGATAATAACCCAGCTCTTTTCACCACCATTGCCCCAGTTCACACTCATATTCCCTCAGCATACCACCACACGCCAACAGCCTTTCTGCTATTTTCCAACACCTAACTAAGGAGTTTAATTTCTGACACATGTCCTATAAACTTTCCCACAGTCACTCATCTCTTTTCAGTTCTCTTAATTATACCCTATGGCTGGTTTGAATCTACATGTGTGTTGATTTGCCTTTCAGCAAGCAAAGTAGAACAGATAACTGTTGAGCTCACATTGGAGACACTATCTAGCTGCCAATTTGTGGGAAACCTGTAGAAATTTAGTAAGTTTGAGATTTCTTTCTTTCTGATAAATGAGATTGACATTTGGCAATGAGGTCAAAAGCTTTATGTCCTGAACAAAAGGCACAAGCTCACTAATTTCATTTTTGCAGAAGATGCTAAAAGTATTAAGTTAGCAGCAAATGCACAGATAATAACAGACAACTGTAAGGGGTAGTTCAATTAATTTAGATTAAAGTTATTTTTGCTAATATAGTTTAAATATTACTTTTATCTTGTTACCTTTTTATTATGCTAAAAATTTATGTGATGAGAGTCCAAAACTATAGGATTTTATTTTTACTACTTGCTACTTTTCTGTATAAAATACACCATGATTTTCTTGACAAGATTCTTCATATTGAGAATATCACTCTTTATTAATATTTTTTCTTACATTTGGAAAAATTTATTATAGAAACCACAAATATATATAAAAGGAATGTTGATACTCAGAGCAGGCCTGTCCACTTCAAGAGCAGTGGCAAACGTAGTTTTCAATGCTAATATTTAACTCTGAGGTATTAGTGATAAAAGTTTTTCTAGTTAAAGACAATATTCTTTCTTACGGATATATTAAAAATATTTTATCCTGGGCACCTGTTCTGCTATCAGTAACTGTAATTGGAAGAGCATTGAGCATGTTTTCGTGTTCCGGAGCATGTTTTTCTGTACAGGTATAGTGATGGAATGAGCTTTTAGCCAAATGGTTTAAACTGTTTTAATGTCTCTGAAGTGTAGTTATCTGCATAATGGGCTGATCTGATGAGAAACCAATGTGTATCTCATTGATGAGACAGAAGCTGACTTTAAATTCAGTTAGGTGAAGTTAAACTAGCTAAGTAACTACATTGGATGCATATGTCTGGCAGTCTTAAAATGCTTGTCAAGCATCTACTTTCATCAGAATGATAGTCATCAAAAGCTTGATTTAAGCTGGGAAGCATATTTTGTTCTCTGGAGGCTCATGTTATAAAATGGAGAGTTCTAACTTGTAGTCAGTATTTGTCTAAATTGAACATATGTGAAAACTATATTTTTAACAGTATTTTGAAACAAAATTGTTCTGATATTTTGTGTGTGATTGTAACATTTGGATCCTTCTGTGCAGAAAGGCTGAATTGGGTTATAGATTAAATTTTTAGGAACAGAGTGTAATGTGACCTGAGAAACCTGACCATTATGAATACCTGCTTATGCAAACAACACCACATCTGCTTGAGTTAGGCATTTCTCAAAAAGAAAAGAGAACAAAACACTCTTCTAATACTCTTCTTTGTGGAGAAGAGCTAAGGATTGCTCATCAGGGTTCTAGCATACTTAGAATGACGTGTACAGAACTGAGGGACAATCCATACCGAGTTTTAGTATGTTTGGTTATAACTAGTTCTGGTAATGCTTCTAGTCTAACCAAGATGACCTCAGAGATGGCTGGTGTATTACGAAGTGCTGCTGTTGTTACAAACTGATGCAGATTGCTCAGAGATGGCAACATGGGTAGGGGTAAGAGGAGCTCTCATGGTCAGATGCGTGCCCCTGCAAAGTTCTTTGCACAGTGTGGACAGTTTTCAGGACTGCCCAAGTTTTAATTTCGAGTTCTGGCAGTCTGGTTCCTCTGGAGCAATCAGTAAGCTCCTGACTACTTGCTTCCAAAGTAATCCAGTGTTTTTTGAATTCTCAGCACGGATTGGGTGAAGTCCTTAGGGTGAACCTACCATGTGTTTAAGATAAATTATTTCTTAAACATAGCATGTTCGTTCTGAAGGGTTTTGGATAAAGCACATATAAGCTTGATGTGTGTGTTTCCTACATTTGCAATTGTTTTAGCAATGGAAAGTTTTGATATCCACTGGTTGTTGATCTGTCTTACTTCTACATCATTCCTTCTGCTGTTAGTGGAGAATTATGATGAAAAGTGGTGGTTTGGGAAAAGTTGAATAGTTTTAGCCTCAAACTGTGTAAATAAAAGCTTAATTTGGAGGATAAATTACATGTACTGTGTAAATACTTATTTTTACACTCACTGTGTTCTCACTGCAGTGCACTACATTCAGAGGCCCAGGTTTTAGTGATGGATATGTGCAGTTGTGAATGTTTTCCTTGCATGTTCAAATGCCTGTGTGTGTTGTGTTTTCGTATGTCTGAAACATTGACTGTGGAGAAAAGTCCTGTTTGTGCAGGAAAATGTTTGTTTTAACAAATTAGGGTTGAAGAATTCTGCTCTCAGCAGTCTTTGCTATGCACCTCACTAAATAAAGCATATGTAATGGCTTTTAAATTGCATTTAAATGCATGTTTTTGATGGATGAAAGGCATGGGATAGATGGAACAGATTACTGGATTTTAAACTCTTATTTTATTACTTTGTGTAACCGGAGTATAGTTCTGTATATCTGGTGTAATATCCTTTCATGCAACTTGTAAATACAGTGTTTTATTATGTGAATTCACATAATAAATTGAGCTGTGTTCACATAAGTGCTTTTTCAGAATTTCTCTAACGAAGGTAGAATGAATAAGCACTTCATGATCTGTAAACAGGAACTTGCTAGGTCTGTCTCAGCATTTCAAATGAGCTATTAAGGAACAGCAGTAAAGAAAAACAGAAATCTGCCTTCCAGCTGGTGTGTTAGAGGTGGTAATGTCAATACTTTCTAGAACAAAACATTTCTATCCCTAGAAAGTGCATATAAGCTTACATATTACATAAACAGACTTATTTAAATAGTTCTTTTTCAGGCAGTACTGCATTTGGATAGATTTTTACATCTTTTCAGCATAAGCAAAAAGTGGGTATTCCATAACTTCCTTCTTTGCATTTAGACTCCATTTCTTCTGCTTGTGACTAGGAGCTTCAGACACCCTGAGGAAAGAAGGTTCTCCTTGTTTAGCAAGAAAAAGCAGTCTGGAACAGGGTTTTCAGACTTCTATTACAGCTGCAGAATAAAGATGAGAAATCAGTGTTCCAAGTAAGTGCTTTTACAGCACGGAGTAGAGTCTGTAATGCATTATATGCTAAAAGAGGAGAAAATGTCAGGAAAAGCCAGTAAGGTTAAGCATATTTCTTTTTTTGCTTTTCTGCAGAGAATCTTACTTCCTGTGCTGCATTATACTGATCAGCTCTAATATGTGCAGAACAATGCAGAATATCAACTTAGATCCCCCCTCCTTGTTGTTTGTACATTGGATTTTTTTGTTCCAATTGTCTTATAGACCACTGTAGGCTACGTGTCTTCCTGAGGATTAAGTGTGCTTTATGTGGTTTGCATGTGTGAAGAAAATCTAACTGAATTTTGCATTTTTATTGAAAATATGGAAAAAAATCATTATGTTGCTGTCCTCTGGGAAATAAGCTGCAGCGTTTGAATAGTGCATAGAATTACATCTAAGATTGCAAGTGTGTGTGTGGGAGGAATGGCACAGCTATGCTTTAGAAAATTGACTTCGTTTGAGAGTATTTTGTATTGCTTTTTTAATATTTGAACTACCACATTGCTGTTTGCTTTTGACTGAGGTTATTAGCTGTAGAAATTAAGATTTTTTACCAGTTCATCTTAATACGCATCTGACTACCTACTTTCCCGGTTTCTGTGTTATTTAACCCCCTTGTGTATTTGCACTGGCCAATGCATTTTTGTGTTTTAAAGAAAAATACATCTGCTGATACTGTATATGGCTTTATGCCAGAAAAAAAGAGTACTTACTCCTATCTAATGCAGGAAGACAAGTGGTCTTTAGCTTTTCACTCAGAATTTGTGTCTGGGTGATGTTATGAAGAAATCTTTCTGGTTTTGTCTCTACTTAAATAATCTATTAAATGCTGTCTGATGTTCGGGATGAAAAATATTTGGAGTTTGAAAACTATAGATTTTCTAAAAATAATACAAGCGAGGATATGAAAATAAGGATTAAGTGACTTAAACCTCCATGTTTTTGAAAACAGTCTGGAATAATAAATTCAGTGTTGACCACTTTGTCAACAGTAGTGTTTTGCAGCTGACTTCTGATTTTAATTATTTTTACAGATTAATGTATTTTGGTGATTGCTACCACTTTATTTTTTGACAATTTAAAATCTGAGGGGTGGTAGCTTCCATCCGATTTTTTTTTTTTTTGCCTGTATGTGTCTTATATCTATTTAATCAGAATTAAAAGGATGGATAGGCAAAAACATAACCAATCAATCAGTGCAGTTTCTATGTAAAAGCATCTTGATCACAGAATCACAGTGTAGCTGAGGTTGGAAGAGCCCTCTGGATGTCATCCGGTCCCCTCCCTCTGCTCAGCAGCACCACCTAAAGCCAGTTGCCCAGGACTCTCTGTCTGAGAGGTGATAGTTTCAGGGTGCTATACATTTTATGAAATGGGTGGCCCACTTAAAAGCAAGTGGCCATTAAGTCTCTTAAATAGGAAAGACTGAAATATGATCTCAGATCAGAGAACTGAGGTCAGGAGGGGAGGAGTTACAAAGAAAGAAAAAAGCTAGTGTTTACCTTTTCATTTGATACTGGAAATCAAATTAGAAAACAAACTCCCATAAAACCAGGCTTTATGCTTACTCTTCAGTTTGTTGCTTCTTTTTGAGGTGGTCAAAAATTAGTAAAGTAATTATTTCCTTGTCTGCTTTGGTGCAAGAATTGACAACAACTAAAAGGAATATTTGACGGGAACTTTTCTTTTTAGTAGGCCTGTACTGTGTTCAGGAATAAGAGACTCAAAATGTGAAGCTTCAGAACAGCTATCATTTTGTCTTCAGTGACATTGAGAGTAGTGTGCTATCATGGATACTGGTGAGAAAGTGATTGCATTGTCAGTTCTGTTCTTTTTCTGCTGCTTACTTACAGGAATTTAGAATTTTAACATAAGGCCTTAATTGTCATGAGCACTCCCAGCATTTACTCTATTGTGCACAGAACCGGTCAGCAGGTCCCACAGTATAGGAGTGGTGCTGATTCCATGAGGTGTGGCTGCAAACACCTACTTGCCATTTTAGTTTTACATGGACAAAACGTGTCTCCAGTTTTGTTTTCCAGGATGTGTGCTGATGAATTAAGGAGAGGAGATGATTATCCATTGATGGATTCAATAAATTACATTCCAGTTACAATGGCAGCAGTCAGGATGCAGTACTTGAGGAAGTGGGTGATAGCAACGCTCTGAAGTTGTAAAACCTGGGCCAACCTGGGTCCTAAGTCAGTTCTGGGTCCATATACTTATGTAAAGTTCTACAGCCTTGAAAATAATATTTTTTTTTAAATGTAGTGGTATTATTTAGTTTTTCATATAGGTTATCAGTACTAAGGCATTATTAACTTTGTTATAGGAAATTCAGGGTTAAATGCACAAATGAGTGAATGTTGTGCTGTAATTTAATGTTGTGCTGTAATTTAAGGTGAGATAAATTGAAATGGCTGAACCAGTTCCTAGTAGCTGGTTAATGCCAAAAAGGAAAGATGTTACTCTTTTTCCCTGTTGCTGCTCAAATGTGATATCCTGCCCCCCGCATCACGTTGGCTCTTATGCCACCCTCCCTGCAATGTCAAGTTAGAAGTCTGCTCACTAATAAGCAGAAAGCTCTCTGGTTTTGAGTTTTTGTGTGTGTTGGGGGTTGGTGGTTTGTGTACTGTGTCATCATTGTCATCTCCCTCTCCTCCCCGTCCCCTGCCCTTGGTTTAGTTTTCAGTCACGTTTATGGGTTGATTTGGCTTTCTAAGCAGTCAGGTAAACCACAGAAATATCTCAAAGTAGGCTGCAGGAGCTCAGGCCCCAGGATGAGGAGAGGGTGGGAGAATGGAGTGTATCTTTGCCCTCTGACTAGTGATAAATTGTTGGACTGGTTCAAGCTGCCTTGTGCAACTTCACTGTACCTAAACCCAAGGAAGTTGAGCAATATTATGAGAAATTTGTGGATTTGGAATAGTTTGTTTATAAGGATTTTTGTTGAATATTTGTCTTCCTTTAACAGGGTAGAATCTTGCTAGCCTTTTTGTGGGGGTTTTTTGTTGTTTTGTTTGTTTGTTTTATGGGTTTTTTTCTTTTTTACAGTTTGATTGTAGCTTGCACATAAGTAACACTGCATCTGCAAATGTTCAAGTGCTTTAGAAGCAATTAAGTTTCAATAAACCCAGTATACAGAATATTATTTATTGTGACCTAATCTTGTCAGTGCTTCCTGTTGCCATAGTATTTTGCTCTTTATAAATCTCATCCCTTAATTACTCCCTGTAGTAAGAAACAGGGGTGAGGGGGAGAACACGGTGACGATTATGTTGTTGCAGAAGTGAAACACACAAATAATATCTCTGAAAATGTTCAGTTTCCTAGAAATAACATTTGAGCAAATTGATAAACGTTTTTAAAGATACTAAATTTATTTATTTTTTTTTTAGGTTATACCTTGTACAGATCTACTGGAGCTTATTTCCAAATTTAAGGAAGTTTGGCTTCCTTTCTGAAACCTTTGATATTCAAGAGTAGGTGTTTTATTGCACTCCTGAGATAAATTCTTCAGAAAGATTGAGGGAGAGAGAAGGAAAAACCTATATGACAACCTTTTTAACATTGCGTCTTCCTTATCTGGCCACTGAGTAGCTTGGAGTGTAGAATAATTTTGTCAGGACCACATAGTTATTGTTTATTTCCCTTTCTTTAAAATGAAAGGGGGGGGGAATATTTAGCATTTATGTTTTGTTTCTTAAGTTGATTTTTTTCAGCTGAAGAGAAAACAAAAGGATGGTGAAGACTTTTAATATAAACAGTCTCAGGATTTGTCTGGTCAGGAAGGGCATGTGATATGTTACAAGAAATAACAATTTATTTTTATTTCTATTTATTTATTTTTTCTTCCCCTCAGGTGATTCATGGCAGGGGACGTGGAAGGGTTTAGCTCCTCCATCCATGACACCAGTGTCTCTGCTGGATTCAGAGCACTGTATGAGGAGGGATTGCTTCTTGATGTCACACTTGTCATTGAAGACCACCAATTTCAGGCCCATAAAGCACTGCTTGCCACCCAGAGTGATTACTTCAGGATTATGTTCACAGCTGATATGCGAGAACGAGATCAGGACAAAATCCATTTGAAAGGTCTGACAGCTACAGGCTTCAGTCATGTCCTCCAATTCATGTACTATGGAACTATTGAACTGAGTATGAACACTGTTCATGAAATCCTTCAGGCTGCCATGTATGTCCAGCTTATAGAGGTGGTAAAATTTTGCTGCTCTTTTCTCTTAGCTAAAATCTGCTTAGAAAACTGTGCAGAAATTATGAGACTTCTGGATGATTTTGGTGTAAACATCGAAGGAGTCAGGGAAAAATTGGATTCCTTCCTGCTAGAGAATTTCGTGCCACTCATGTCCAGACCTGACTTCCTTTCATATCTGAGCTTTGAGAAGCTCATGTCTTACTTGGATAATGACCATCTGAGCAGGTTTCCAGAGATAGAGCTGTATGAAGCTGTTCAGGCCTGGCTGCGCCATGATAGAAGACGTTGGAGGCATACGGACACCATCATTCAGAACATCAGGTTTTGTTTGATGACACCATCCAGTGTTTTTGAGAAGGTTGGTGCATTTGAAAAGCAATAGACAGGATTCATCATTTAGCTAGGGCAGCATGCCATTATATAGGTAAGATTCCCAAACCTATTAGGAGAAATAAAAAGATAGCATTTATTTTTCTAATAAAACAGTAGAAGACAAACATCTGGAAGTATTGTCATCTGATTATTAGACAATAATATGTACAGTGACTGGAGAACAGGTAGGTTTACAATACATGTTTTAAAGTGAACTCTTATGGAAAGGACATTTCAAAATAAGGTCACTTGTGTTAATAGAAGTTTTATTTCAGTCATTCTTACTGTTTTCCACAAGTTGCTTCTTGCTTTCCAAAGATTTTAGAGCTGCATAGAGTATGTAGGGCGAATGGCATAACTGTTATTAATAAAATCAAAATATAGCGACTGTAGATTTTATGTGTTTTAAGTACAGTTATTTATTTACAAGTGGAAACTGGAATCTGCTGTTAAGTCTGAAGGATGGTGTTAGTGTTGTATCTTCAGTGCTTTTACTGTTGTTACACAGCAGTTGGAAGTAAGCCCTGGTCACATACATTTGGCGCTACACAAGGCACATAATACAGTCCAAACTTATTGACAGTGTGAAGTGTAATGATTTATTTTAAATACCAGAAGAATTTTTGTAACAGGTGATCTGAAATTCAGTTGATCATTGTATGTAACAAGATGTTAAAAGAAAACTTTCTTTTTGTACTGTTCTGTTGAAGAATAGACACACACACACATACAGAGTTGTTTTCTGTTCTGAGACTGAGTATTTGTCAACAGTAGGGTATTACAAGACTTTGTAAGGAGCTCTCTTGCAGGCTAGTAACAGAAGGGTATTCAGGTCAAGAATTACTTAAACTGTGCTGTTTGTCTTAAAAAATGTTAATTTTGTGTGGCAAGATACAACTTTTAACTTGTGTTGTTTTAACCTTTCAGTGAATTAATGGGATTTAAGACTCTATGCTTTTGTTGGGTCTTACAAATAAATTTCCTATATATTTTTATTTTGTATCTAGTAAATATACAGATAATGTTATATTGTTCTTGGTGTTTTAAGGGCTACTGGATCTTTTTGGTAGTAAGGCTTATGCTTATTTGTATTTTAAATTGTAAAAGCAATTCATAAACAAGTGAGGTTTTGTATTTTGGGTTGGGTTTATTGTGTGTAAATTGAGTAGAGGAAATAATAATACATGAAATATATTTCTGATTCTATATTAGCCAATAGACAAATAATAGAATAAATACCTGTTTTAGAACAGTAATGTAATGTTTACATTGGATTAAGAGATTTCCAACTAGTAAGAGCTGAACTCTGCAAGATGCTGTGTAGTGTCTTGTTTTTAAAAATGCTTTTACCTTATTATTACAACATTTAAGCCCTTCAGTAAGAAAACTGATAGGATTCATAAAGTATCCTTAAGGTCAGTCTACCAGGGTAAGACTTGTATGAAAGAGTCTGCTTCAGCTCTTTGTGTTTTTGGGATCTAAGTTCAAGCATCAAGCTGTCTTCAGTTAAATTTCTGTAAGCACAAGTGAAAAGTACATGTTGGTCTTCAGCGTTATATTTAGGTGTAACTTCTGGAGTTGGTTTTGGTATCCGTGGTGTAAATCCTGCATAGAGTGCTTCTCATGTTTTATACTGACAGCTACCAAATGGCCAGATAGATACAACTTAAGGAGACAAGTAATTTTCAACATCCTAGTTTATATACCCACATGCAAAAGCTTTATCTGTGGATACCCTTCCCATTAATTTTATGTGGGAGCAGATAGAAGCCAGTGCAGATTCTGGAGTGGGACAACTCAGCAGAGGGAAGCACAGCTAAGTATGTATGTCATTTGTTGCTGTGGCTAGAAATGCATTTGTATTTTACCCTGGCTAGAGAGCATTGAGTAATCCAGCATGACAAGTGACAAAGGACAACTGCAGTTGGAGCCAACATCAAAATACAAACCATGCTTTTTCTTTTTTTTTTTTTTTTTAAGTGTTCTGGATGTTACCTAAGGAGAGCTCTTTCTTCAGTGTAGAAGGGGGAGAATATTGGTTTCATTTTTTTTCTCTTTGAGATCCACAAACATAATTTATACTTTTCCTGAAGCCAGCACATACTAAATGCCTGTGTGAATGTACCAAATACAATCTGAGATTGATTCTTAACAGTTCAGCAAACTCTGTAGTTGCTGTATACTGCCTGGCATGTCCTCTTACGTAATCTTTCTAATATGTACTCTGACGTAATCTTTCTAATATGCATTACTACCATGCCTGTCTGTAATGTATAAATAACTTACATGGAACTTTGCAAGACACAGTAAGGATGGTATCTTTTGGTCTCTTAAGTCACTCTTTCTTACATCGTTTTTCTGAAGAGATTTACAATCTGAGAGGGATGACTTGTCCTCTTAAAAATGAAATGAGTGCGTGACTCTAAATGTGATGTACATTTGGAGTGCACAAGTGAAGGTGCACCCTGTTTGCTTATTCTAAACTGTCCTTGAAAAACTGCTTCTGAAGTATGAGTAGATACTCCTTTTGTTCCTCAGCCCTTAAAATAGATGTAGATTTATGCAGGAAAATGTAAATATTGATGAAGTAAGAATATGGTGAATAGTTAGGAAGTAAAGTATATGGGGAGAAACACAGGTTCCACTATCCACTTTATTTGAAAAAGTAGTATTTTCCACTTTATATGAAGCATATCCATGGCTCTGTAAGTCTTGAGAAAGGCTGGTGATAGAAGGCATTTTTCCTAGATCATTTGAGTTCATCTCTCTTACACTGGAGGCAACCATGTAATGAAAAGACGTGTAGGTGTGGCACTTAGGGACATGGTTTAGTGGTGGACTTGGCAGTGTTGGATTAATGGTTAGACTCAATGATCTAATGTTTTGATCTAATGTTAATGTTTTGATAACATTTGTTGACAGGAATATAGTTGTACTTAGAATATGGTCAGAGATTAGTAGATGTAAAAACAATAAAGATCCTACTTAGTAGGATTGATGAATCTTTAATTTTGATTCAGCTTCATCTCTAGTAAAATACAGGGGTTTTTTCAAGGAAAAGTGTGCTCTCCAGAAGCCGGATACAGATGCCATCTTTATTCATTGAAAAGGTGTAGCATAGCTTCTATATTCTTAATAGTTGAGTTTGAGTTTCATCACTTGCACATTCAGAACTGGCAGTTGTAGAAAACTTAACTAAGCACAATTTTATAACCTTTGAAATAGTTCTTTGCTTATGTGGCTAGAAATGATAGAACCATGCTATGAGCCATCCATACTTTTGTGTGATGTTTTTTTTTACCAGTTCTATAGAAGGGACCAAACTAATATCTACCTCATGTAATAACATGTTAAGATTTAGTTATCAGGTGTACAAATACTAGATACTTAGTTTGGGTGTTTCAAAAGCAGCCTTCCATCACGGTTTTGAAAGCTTTCTCTGAAAGCCCAACTAACAAAAATGAATAGGGCAATAGCTGTATATAGTTGTATTGAAAAAAAAAAAGCTCCAAATACTGAAGTCAGATTTGTGTTACAGACCATTTGCCTTGCATTTCATTGTTCTTCCTGCAGCTTATTAATTTGCTTAATTTTCTGGGGGGGATGATGAACATAAGGGTTGTATCCACTCTTTTGTGGGGATTACTTTTCAAATTAGAAACTAATGGCGTACATTTTTTGTTTTACTGTTTCATAAAATATAGATGGAAAATTCTAAAAGTTGTATAGCTGCTCAGCTAGAAAAGTAGGCATTACAATACAGCAGAAAACTAGGTATTGATTAATAGCTGCATAAATTTGGAAAGCCAGCAGTTTTTACTGAGTATTTCACTGATTCAAAATGCAATCAAGCTCAAATTTACCATGGCTAGAGGGATGGTGGTGATTTTGGTGGTCTTTGATGATTTTGGTATTGACTGCCTACTGTGTGAGTAGAGACAGGGATGAGTAGTGGATGTTTTTAATTATTTTCTTTCTTTCAATGACACATTTGATTTTGTTTATGCTGTTCCCTGCCTGTGTAGCTAAAAGTCCAACTGTGAACCATTGTAACTGGTAGGTGATGCAAACAGGTAGATCTCATCAGAGTTCTTCTGGGAGCTTTTATATTACCACTACATCCCAGCAGAACCTCTGTAAGAAGGTTTTGTCCAGAAAATGAAGAGAAAGAATTGAAAGAATGTGAAAAAAACCACGCGAGCAAAGCTTTAGCATTTGGATTAAATTCCTTTTTACTGTAAGATTGGGGTTGGCAAGGAAATCCAATTTAAATGTGCTCTGAGACCCTTCAGCAAGGTAACAGAATAGGGTTTTTTTAGACTTTGAAAATGCATTTATATTTTTTTATCAATTCAGAGTTGACAATGTACTCTTAAGAATGCACATTCGTTTTACTTCAAGGCTCGTCACGGTTAGTGTACATTTCCATCTGTTTTGGATGCTTTGCAGAAACCTGTGAGCATTCTCTCTAATTGAGTATGTTGGTAATAAGGGCATTTTCCTTCTAGAGCTTCTCCATTTGAGCTTAACAGAAAAATAAGTCTGTTGGTAAGCACTCAGTTGTTGATCAACTGCTCCTTGCCACTTCTGGGTAATGGCAGAAGCCTGATTTTGAATGTTGGAAGAAATTCCTTCAGCCTATTTTGTATGTCAGACAGCAGTCCCCACAAAAGGCTTGCTAAAGGCCATGTTCTTTAACCTACCAAAACAAAATGTATGCACAATTCACAGTTGTGTTTTAATACCTAACCACCTAAATTTTAATGCTTCTCTTTTTTGATTGTACTCACAAGTAATTAAAAGCATTGTAAAATTATTCAGAAGTGTAGGTGGAGGGTGTTCCTTACGAAAGGCTGAATAGGAATTTAAAATAATTCTGGAAGATTTCACACAGACAGCGTGTGAATATGTAAGTGGGCAAACTGACCTACATTTCCTTTGTCTTCATTTGCATCAGGCAAGCCTGAGCAGTCTGTACTTTCATATAGACATTCTAACAGTCATAGACCATCATTTGAGCCTTCAGAGAGGTACTGCTCCTGTATGGCAAAGGTTGTGCTATGGAAAGCTGGAAGTTTAGAAACAGTGGTATTTTTCCTCAACAGTGAAATCAAGGAATCCTCGTACTACCTTTTCTCACCAGAATTTAGGTAGTATATCAGTCTATTTTGTGATTTGTTTGTTTGGGATTTTTTTTTTAATCTTTTTTTTCCCCTGAATATTGTAAGAATTTATAGTGCTTATATATTTATGTTCATCTCTTCAAGATTATTCTTGTAGATAGCTTCCCCAAGAGCATCAGTCTGAAAGAGTTGTTTATAACTGATAGTAATATTTGCTTCTTGATGTCTTTCTGGTTTAAGGTAAGAGATTGAGGCTTTGCTTTCATTTCAGTGCTTTGTCAAGAGAAGTAGTACTGATAGATTGATTCCCTGGTCTTGAGATTCTCTCTGGATTGAGAGATAGTCTTTGTTTGCTTTTGCATGCTCTCATGGGATGAGGCTTAGGCTATGGAAAGAAGTATAGTGGTGAGGCTATATAAGGGTTAATTCCAGTTTCTGGCTGGTATTTCAGTTTCTAGATCTAAAGACAATTGTAAATGTTGAGGGGGGAAGAGAATACATTTTCCATCTCTGCCAGGCCCTGCTGGCATGCTTCACATTGTTAGCATGTTGATCCTGTTGTCTTCAATAACCAGTCCAAGAAAATTTGAAATGCATATAGGTGGAACAAAAATTCTTTTATCTTTTTTCTTCAATTCCCAAAATGATAGCTTCCGTTTGGGAGTGTGTGAAATAGTTGTGCTGGTTTAGAATTTGAAAGTTAATTTTAAGGGTAAAGTAACCCACCCAAGAATCTGTTATTTTAATTTCCTGTGTAATTTTTTTACCCTTTAAAGCTTTCTGTATTTTACCATTTTTCTGTTCTATGGTTTTCCCTGCTACCTCTCCCCCAGTATATTTGCTGGAAGTTATCTTCTCAGTCAGGCTGTATGGTTTATTCAGATGCCGTATGAGCAAATTGCCTGTATTCTTACGATATATTCTTTATATAAAGTAAGAAAAAAGAAATTATTCCCCAAAAAAGTTGGCCTTACGGGTGGGTGTTTCATGAGCACTGTGCCTAAGTAAACCTTTTTGCTCCGTAATCACCCTCATAAATACAGTAGAAAGAAGTTGGATATTGCTCTGAGAATAATATTTGCAATCTGTATGTGCCCATTTTCTTTTTCCAAGATAAGTTGAGCTTGTCAAAATAAAAGTGTGGGGGGGAAGAAACAGCGTAAATAAAACTGTCAAATCGCTCTAACTCTTGAGCTACAAAGTACATCACAACAATAGGTTAGCATTCAGGAGTTTTGAAAATCAGGTAGATAAAACAATTTCAGTTTGCAGATCGTCCAGTAGTAACATTTCAAAAAGTTTAAAAAATGTTTATCTTAGAGCAGAATGTCTTCATTACTGTACAAGGAAGAGAAAGGATTAACACAAAGTTAACATTTTAGTAATATGTGTTTATGGAATAAGCCACTGCTTTATTCACAAGGTATAAAAACATATATCTCCAAATTGCTTTTCAGATACATGAAAACTTGTACCACCCCCCCCCTTAGGTAAGTGGTGGTACAGGCTTTTATTACTTGGGGCAGGGAATAGGAAGAGGTGGGGGAACAGATACTGAAAACTAGTAAATTCTGGTGTTACTGTGTGGTCACTTCGAGATTTCAGAGTGGCCTTACATTTTTTCTGAGCGTTGCTTCTCTTTCTGAAGCTAGTAGGTACTAAAGGCATTTGGGGTGTGTGAAAGCAATCTGGTGTCGTGAAAGAAATGGGGACTTAGGATCAAATCTGATAGAGGATTTGTGGATTTGGCCATATCTAGTGGGGTTTTATTTGTTCTAGATGTGTAATTCAGAGTGTTTTGTTAGACCAGACTGTAAAGGAAGAATGAAACCTCTTTGAAGAGAAGCACATCGTGGCCTGAGGGCTCTCTGGAGCTAGATTAGTTAAAGTGTTCAAGACAGGGATGCTTTTCGGAATTGTCTCAGAACTGGTCTTGGGAGCTTAAATTGACTTACATAATAGGAAGGGTCCTAGAAAGATGAATTACAGTCTTCCACTCACTGCCAACTCCAGTGAAGCTGTGCAGGGGTAGCTCTGTTTGGATTGGGATGGCACTTCACTACTGTGGTAATTCAAAGGTGGTAGCTCGTAACTGGGAAGAGGAAGTTCAAGCCTATGTCCACCAATTTACCAAATAAATGCACAACCAAACGGTTATAGGTTGAGATATTTTCCTCTTGTGTTAAAGGCATTTGTTAACATGGAGACTCGTAGAGGGGACCTATAAATGTAACCATCATGATGAGTGGTCAGTGCAGTCACATGTTCTGAAGGAGGGGTTTGATTGCCTTCCCTTCCCACCCCAGTTAAATAGGTGTGTGAGGAGAGCCTACCATTCAGGAATACCTCCTTGGGCTTCGTTGCAAGAATTCAGCAAAAGCTTAACAATGATAGGCCCTGGTAAACGCAGAATGGGTGCATAGAATGATTTTCAACACCAAAAGAATAGTTCATTCTTCATTTAGATGCTTCGTGGATTAAGCAGAAAATGAACAGGCTTCTTGGGAAAGAATGAATAATGATTTTTAGGCTTGGGGATTTCAGTTGTGCCTAATTCCAACTTAAATTCTGTGTGTGAGTATTCTGCTGAAAATGTTAGTCATTGCTGTTAATCACTAAATTGCCTTCTGGATTTTGAATAACAATACATTAGCTTAAGCCTTCATGCACAAATACAATTACTCTCAAGATTGCCTGAATGAAACTAAGTAAAATAATCTTATAATGACACACAGTCATTTAGGTTTTCTGGATTGTTTCTCTTGGTCAGAATTTTAATGTCTTTTAAATGTATTCATAGGTAAAAACATCAGAGTTTTATCGATACTCCCGGCAGCTGCGACATGAGGTTGACCAAGCCATGAATTACTTTCATAGCATTCACCAACAGCCTTTGATGGAAATGAAATCGAACAAAATACGTTCTGCCAAACCCCAGACTGCAGTATTTAGAGGAATGATAGGACACAGTATGGTAAACAGTAAAATTCTTCTCTTGCACAAACCAAGGGTCTGGTGGGAGCTAGAGGGTCCTCAAGTACCTTTACGACCAGACTGCCTTGCCATTGTGAATAACTTTGTGTTCCTGTTAGGTGGGGAAGAACTGGGGCCAGATGGTGAGTTTCATGCTTCGTCCAAAGTGTTTAGATATGACCCAAGACAGAACACTTGGTTACGAATGGCAGACATGTCCGTTCCACGTTCTGAGTTTGCTGTTGGAGTTATTGGGAGGTATGTTTATGCAGTGGCTGGGAGAACCAGGGATGAAACCTTTTACTCAACAGAACGCTATGATATTACTGAAGATAAATGGGAATTTGTGGATCCCTATCCAGTCAATAAATACGGACATGAAGGGACTGTTCTTGGTAACAAGTTGTATATCACTGGTGGAATTACATCATCTTCAACGTCTAAGCAAGTGTGTGTGTTTGATCCTAGTAAAGAAGGGACAGTAGAACAGCGAACAAGGAGGACTCAAGTGGTCACTAACTGTTGGGAGAACAAATGCAAAATGAATTATGCAAGATGCTTTCACAAAATGATTTCTTATAATGGTAAGCTTTATGTCTTTGGTGGTGTCTGTGTGATCCTGAGGGCCTCCTTTGAATCTCAAGGATGTCCTTCCACGGAGGTCTATGACCCAGATACTGATCAGTGGACTATACTGGCTTCTATGCCAATCGGTAGGAGTGGTCATGGTGTAGCTGTGCTGGACAAACAGATAATGGTTCTTGGAGGCCTTTGTTACAATGGTCATTACAGTGATTCAATTCTCACCTTTGATCCAGAGGAAAACAAATGGAAAGAAGATGAATATCCGAGGATGCCGTGCAAGCTGGATGGCTTACAAGTCTGCAGCCTGCACTTCCCTGAATATGTGTTGGAGCATGTTAGACGTTGCAGCTAAACCAGAAAGAACAACCCAGTGAAATACAAAAGGCTGTACCTAATTTGTCAAAAAATACAAACTAGTTGAATTCCGTCAGAGACATTACCTTGTGTGTAAGAACTGCTAAATGCTTAAGAGCATTTAGGAGGTACAGGGAGTTTACTTACCAAGTTTATTAGAACAGCTGATGGTTGGTCTGATGTTGTAAAAGCTTTGTTTTTTTAACAAACATAATTGTAAGGGGAAAGAAAAATATATTTTTGAGTGTGCTTTTTTTTTTTAATATGACCATAAGACTTTCTTCTTATTATTCTTTTTTTTAAATGTCCATTACACCATTGCGCTTCTGAAATCAGTTGAATTTAACAAAATATTTGTAGAAGAAAGAGGAGGAAGGCTTTATTTTAATTTTATTGAGCCTCAAAATAAAACTCATCTGTACTAGGGTACAACCAAGTATAAAATAGCAAAACTAAACAATTTCTCTATTTTTATGTTGTCTTCTGAATGCTTTTCCCATGAATTGCAAAGTATTCTCAAATCTGTAGGTGTTTCTGTTTTCCCTTATATATGTTGAAGAATGATCTCAAACTCTTTGCATGACCTTTTTCCTGGTTTTGTATAGAAGTACCAGTAAGTCTGCCAAAATTCAAATTACACATTTTCTACTAAATCGAAAACAAAGCATTTTTATATTCATACCACTGTTTCTATGCTGCCTTCTATTGTCTGCATTATGTTTGTTGGTGAGTAAAGAATATATACACACATGCATACACTGTAAAAACTATATATAAATACATCTTTTTATGTGCAGTTACAATATTATATTTTAACTAGTGCACAGATTCTGCCATATTGTTGTATTTAAGGTATAGTGCTATCCTTTAATGAGCTTAATAATTCAAATTTCTTAAGTAACCGGAAGCCTCATTTGGTTTCAAAGTATCTTGTCTTTAATATGTACTGATTGATTCAGTAACTACTCTTTATATCAATGCTCATAATGAACTGTCAGTAATTTGCTGTTTTATAAATTATTTTTTAAAAAGAAAACACATCTTACCTGATTTCTTTTATGTTTGAATGTGCTGCCCAGTTTTCTTTTTTTATGAAGATGGGAAATGTCAATAAGCAAATGCTCCGCACTGCTTTGACCCACAGTTGTTTTCAGAGCTGGATACACTACAGTTTATTCTCAGTACTTCACTTGTAGTCATACTTCGATAGGAATACTTTGTACTCATATTGAAGTGGTATAATTTAATTTTTTTAATAATATAGTTATTAATGGCTATGAACTACTGTGGTTTGAAAATGTGGAATTAGGTGGTTGGATCATTAGTATCATTTCTGTTTCTTTTACAAAAAACCTACACAGCTATAGCTACTGACCTCAGAGTGCCTGAATCAAGATGTGTGGTCCATCCAGGAGGGCTTTGAATAACTCCTTTATTTTTGTCAACTTGCAGATGTTACTGACTGTAGAATGGTAAGAACTATAAATACATTCTGTTTATTTTAAAGTGTGTGAAATCAGCCACTTCTAGACTCTAAAGGGAAGATTTGGAGAAGTTCAACTAACTTGGGCACTTAGTTCAGATGTGTAGGGACAAAATGATGCTGAAACATGCACCTGCGTATGTTGTAAAATCTTATACCACTGTGTTTCACGTGAAGCAGTAAGACTACTTTATATGCAGTGATGAAGACCACTTTACTCAGCATCTTCCAGTCAGAAATCACTGTAGAAAAGGAATGTACAGTACTCAGGGGGTTCAAAAGAATGCACTTACAAAGGGACCAAAATCACCCTGTATTTCTTATGTTAAATGCAACACCTACCTGCCTAAACTAAGTTTGAAATAGTCAATAGGTGTTAAAACAACATGTAAAATTCTTCATTCTTGTACTTTGATATTTTTGTAGTAATTATGTTCTGGGTTTAGATGTAAGGATTTGGAGCTATATGGCAAGTTGACATTTAGGTTTTTTTATTTATTTATTTTTTTAATTAGAAATGATTTATTGATACAGTATTTTCTTTCAGTATGTTTCAACAGCAAGAGAGATTGTATGCCATCATAGTTTCATCACTAGTGACTGGACCAAATACTGATATTCAGCCTTCTTATTCAGACTAGTTTGCAGTTTTCTCTTTTAATCAAATTTCAGTTTACTGAATTAGAAATCTATTTTACTTTCTTACTTTAATAGCTTAACTTAAAGCCAGTGAGGCTTACGCAAAAACCTCAGTTTCATTGTGAGACTTTGTGTGTTCATCAGCTGCATGGCTGCAGAGATGAACTGTCTCCAGTAGGTGCTGGCAGTGTGCAAGTGAAAATGCTCTGCTGTACATAGTTTATGGAATATTGGGGCACAAGGATAAAAACAAGCTTTTAAAATTGTTTTTATTCTCTTTGTCACCAGCTCATTCCTCAGTAAGTTTTATGAGGCAGCAAAAGCTAATCCTGCCTGTGTAGGCTTTCATGGACATGTTATGAATAGTACAGAGAACTTTTATCTAGGGCCAGTCTGGGGAGTGGACATGGTTCTGGATATTTGGTCTTCCATAATTCAGGTGTAGTAGAGAGACATGGCAAAGACTTCATTAAAAATAACGGTAAGGATGGGGGTGTATTAAGTTATCATTTTGAGTCTGCACTTAAGCACCTTCTGAAGTTCTATCTGCTAAGCAGCTGGCACTGAAGTCACTGGTGAGTACTGACGCTTGAAACATGAAGAACCAGGTCGTTTTGAGGTGCTCTGGTTTTAAGTTCATATTTATCTTCAGGTGCTCAGCTCTGAAAGATCTTGTTAAGAATTGTAATAGTAATTATTCTGTGACATTCTAACTTGAACTCTTGATTTCAGCTTCCCTGAAGTTGTGTCGCCATTGAGAAGCTGGCTGTAATCTTTCCAGCAATAGGAATGCTTGGAATTTTGTTAGGTTTAGAATTTGTGGAGGTATGAGAGAATTTTTTAATTTACATTTCTACCATGCTTTTATTGTTTCAAACATGAAACAGAAATTACCGTACGTTCTCTTTTCCATGGCAGTGGAGTTTTTGAGGCAGTTTTGTTACTTAATATTATCAGAAGGATTTTTATTTTTTTTAACATAAAATTCTGTTTTTGTTTGCTTTTAGTATTTAGCTCCAGATAATTCAGTGTTTAGATAAAAATAAAAGTAAGCTAGCTAATAAGATTGGCCTGTTACTATCAGATTTTGAGCATTATGATCAGATTACAGTGGATTTTTAAAACATTTAAATGCCTCTACTTTGTCAAGAAAAAGGTAAGCTACAATCCTTGATTATTACGTTGGGGACGGTTCTTCTATTCCTACCCCAGTCATAACGGTATACTGGCAAATCTGATCCCCTCATATTTAATATTTAACACATGACCTGTTTTGAAACACCAAATGTACTTGCATTTTCATAAAAAGGTGGACATAGTGAGTTACACTCTAAGTTTGGGGTGGGTTTCTTGTTTGTTTGTTTGTTTGTTTTTAATATTTACAGCAAAAATGTGTCAGCTTCCAATTTTAATTTAGTAATGAGCTCCAGGGGATATTTTGTTTTCAAATGAGCAAGAATGGATGAAGTGTGTAGTGCTCCTATAAAGGGGTTGGACGCTGCCAGTTCCTGTTCCACATGCTGCTCTATCTGCTCTTAGGGGCAGATAATTTTGTTCAGAATTCAAAAATAGCCCATTTTTCCTCACGAAGTGTTGGTACTAGTGGGAGGTACTAGGTGGCAAAAAAAACCCTTCTGATTTTTTTTTTTTCCCCCATTGATTCAGTTGGAGGAAGGCAGTGCTCAATTTTACAGACTGCTGTTTCAGAAAGCACTGCTAGCAAGGGGGGCGAGTGGTAGCATGTGATATGCTGCTTTAGTATGTTACTTGATTTTGAAAAGTGTGGATGCCCTACTTCCTGCACAGTCCTGTTACAACTAGCTCTGAGGGTTTGTGACTGTAATATTTCTCTGGTTTCTGAGATTTGCAGCCATTTTTTCTTGAGGACCTCCTGCCTTACAGACGCAAGTGATAGGATTTTTTGTGCTGATAATGTGGTAACTACTTCAGTCAGGAACGAAGCTTTGCTTGATGCTCAGGAAGCAAAGGATAAAATTCAGCAGGTACAAATTCAAATCAGTTAAAAAAGACAAATATTGTTTAACTCATTATGTCCATTCTTCTGCAAAACCATTATGGGGAGATGCTAACAGCTTTTTAAAACTGAACTTCAAGCTGTGTCAGCATTTATGTGGCAAAGTCTTTTTAGAAGTAGTCACATTTGTAGAGGTGTTTTGCGTTTTAAATCTATTTTTCCTTTTAAAAAATTAAATAGTGAATTGTACCCCTGATTCTTTTAACACTTTGGATGTGTACTTCACATAGGTGAACAGTCCAATACAAAGAGAGTAGAAAACTAAAAGATACTTATAAGAAAACTTAAAAGCGCAAATGTTACTAAACTTGTGCTTCAGTGTTATGGGGCTGGGGGCATCCAAGAAAACATCTGTCCTGCTCTTCTTCCATTAATAAATACATAACTGGTGAAGTTACTTGAGTAAGTATGGTCCTTCACATGTGGCAGGGCTTGCTGAAGGAGTGGGAAAGAATGTAACTGGAAAACGTGTGATCTATTTAAAACAAAGCTTACCAGTGTCCTGTAGCTAACTTTTTAAGATTTAACATTTGTAAACCAATATGAAGCTGCTTAAAATGAATACTAACGACTACTTTTGCATCTGTATTCTATTTTTGAAAGTTGGTGAGTAAAGTTCCAGTTTGTGTGGATAAACTTCATAAAACGTATGTAGCAGGTGGCAGAAAAACTGACCTATTTTGAGCACAGCTTTCCTGGATTTCCCTCTGCTATGGGTTTGGTTTGTTTTTTTGTTTTTCACTTCCCAAATTTCAAATAATGTTTATATCTTTTTAAAAGAACTTTCAAAGCTCAATTTCAAGTACCTTTGAAGTAATATTAAGTTGGTGGCTGAGGGAAAACCACTTCTATTTGCAGATGGTAGTTTTTATTTATGGCTCTGGTAGAAAACCTTACTGTAAGTCTAGAAAATAAAGTGTTACATAGGACTGTAAAGTCAGCTATTCTTAGGGGGCTTTTGTTACCTCAGTGGGACCCACCTAACTTTTATGTCAGTTCTGGGAACAGGTGAAGGGAAGAGTGAGCTATGTTTTTATTTTAAATATTTTTCCCTATATATTGTTATTTTTGTAGGTCTTTTTAAAATAAATTATTATATGCTGGAGATTGAAATTCCGCTATAGTATCCCACATGAGCCCAGTGTACAATATCAGATTGTTTGCATTGAAAAGAATGTATTTGATAAGTATTTGATAAGTTAATGGAAAAAGTTATTTTCAAACTGTACTGTGTTTGTGTTTAGCAATTGGAAATACTTTTCCTATAGAAAATTAAAAGTATATATATGACCTCATGTACATTTGGATTAACTGTCTAATGATTACCCCAGGGCTGCTATAAACTCCTCTGAATAATTTAAGAATTGCCTCTTTTTAACTGTTTTAATGCCTTTTTTCTTTTCTTGGCACAAAGTAATTTTCCCTAGCTGTGGAGACAGTATGCTCAGACTTGCATATACGCTCTGCTCGGGTTTCAGACTGAAAACTGTATAAAATGTGTATAAAAGAAAGTGTAAATAAAATATTTTTAATCTTTAATCACTCTTGTGTAAGCTTTTGTAATACTGAAAGTGTAGTAGGCCTGGATTACTTTCTGCAGGACTTCAGCTTCTACTCAGTTAAGCAACTCTTCAAAAATGTTGTGTCACTATAATTCATAGTGTTATGTTAAAGTTATCCCAACAAGAATAGTTGGATGTCCTTATATAGCATCAAGCCTATATCTTTGGCTGTATTTTTACAATCTTCCCAGTTTTAATTACTGTATTGCATTCATGTGTCTACTCTGTATTTCAAGCTTGAAATAATGTTTGGAGTTGGCTTCGTTGTTCCGTTTATATCTTGGTTTCAAGGCATAAGTTTAAACTGTAAGACTGAAAGCCAAATCCAGCCTTTGGTGTTAGCCAGCAGCCAGGAGAAGAGACTGTTCCCTGCTGTCAAGTGCATGGAATTGAAGGCTCTGAGGTGCCCTGTGTGGACCTCAGAGTGCCAGAAGTTCTGAATTGTACTGCCTAATGCTTCTGATAACAGGAAGGGGAAACTTCATTTCAGGATTCAAGTGTCAGGTTAGAACAACACTCAATATCAAGAAGTGGGTGGGCGAAGCAGATAAAATAGGAGTTTATGATCTCATTTTCTTAGCCTCATGGAAGCCACATGGATGCCACACTTTCCTCTGCCACTGTTTTTTTGGCCACTCTTGCTGTCAGAACAAAGTCCTGAGTTCTAAAATAGCATTTTAATTGTATTCTAATACTCTGAATGACTGAAGACTTTATTTGCATGAAGTAGGTTTTACCGCCTTCCTCTTCGGTAACTTGACCTCATCCTACAGTTGTACTGTTCAGTGGGTGAATGCTGCAAACGAGTTTGTGCTGGTCTCAGTGGGATGTGTCATGGGAGGAAGGTCCTCTTAACTGTGGTGTGTTGCCAGTTTTTGGTTCAAAAGGAAACAAAATGTATTAGAAGGATCCAGTGAAACAGACACAGTCTTTTCATGCTGTGAATGTTATTGACAATTATTTTTGTTTACCTTTTTAATTTCACTTCTCTGTGAGCTGGGTTGTATTTTTGGCAATACCATCCTTCCACAGTGTTACACTGGCCAACCTCTGTAGCTGATTAGGAATCTCCTGTAATAGTTCCATCATTTCACTAAGGAGAGCTTTCACATTATGGTTCATAGTTGCTCATACCAAGTTCACTTTTTTTTGAATATGTGGCCTTATTTTTTGGAAGTAGTTCAGTCATATGTTTTCACTTGTTTTGTGTTATGTGAAATTAATGTTAGTTTGACAAAGGACTTTTCTTTTTTTTTTTTTTTTCCAGTTAATTTTTTCCAGATTCTTTCCTGTAAGTTCTCCACCCTTGTTAACTTGAAATTCTTTGTTTCAATAGATGTTTCCCCTTTGTTATAGATCGGGTAGATTGGGTTTGGGGGGTTTTGGGTTTGGTGATTTTTGTTTTGTTTTTCCTCTGATTCCATCAGCTTCCTAATGTGTAAAGGAAAACAGTTTGAGTTTTGCACAGATTTTGTCTTCATTCTGTACCTTTTGGGTTCATGCCATACTTACAGACATGTGATCTTCCCCTGCCCAACCTTCAGCCCTGCCAGCTCTTTCTGATGTTTCACTGTCATTGTCTAATCAGAGTGCTGACTTGTACAAGGCAACTTTCTTGGCATGTGCAAAATTGTCGTTCTTTCAAGAAAGAGGGTAGAGGTCTGTGTGTAAAGACAGCTTTAATTTTTGTTTGCATTAAGGTTTCCACTTTTACAGTTGGTGCTTCAGTTGCACTGACAGGTGCTTTATGTGGTGTTTACAGGTAAAAATAAACTTCATCATGATCTCTGCTTAAATACCCAGTGCCTCTTCTTCACTCATCTGTCCATTGGAGTGAATGCCAGGATGAAATGTCACATGCTGAGTGCCAAGCCTCCTAGACTGTAGGACTTCTAGAACTGAAATACTTTTTGCCATGTAACTGATGTCTGTCAAATGCATCTCCTGGCAGTGTTGCTCTTGGTATTGCATTGTCACTCTGTATTACGGATAAATGTTGCTCAGTAAGTGGTGCTGAAAAAAACCTCACTTGTTTTCTAATAGATGGATGGCTTTAATGGTTAGCAGTTTTTATCACACTGATTTTACCAGATAGATCTGTCTTTAGCCCAGGCTGGCAGCCTGCTTTCCCGCACACGTTCCAGTATGTCCTAAGAATTGGTTTGTTCCTTTTCTTTTGTTTTGTTTTGGTTTTTTTCTTTTTTCATCCTGTGGCTCATCTCACAAGTTGGAATTAACACCAACCATTTTTTTCCTGTGTGGGAATCTTTACCTCCTGTAGTGAATAATGCATATTATGGGTCTGTTTATATGTGTTTCAGTGCTACTCATGAGGCTTTCTGACTATACCAGCCCTTCACTGGTTGCATTGTACTGACTGAAAACAGGTACTTCCCCCATGTTTAACTTCCACAGTCTCAATTCCAAGGTGTATTCATCTTGTAATTAGCTCCCCGGATTACTGAATACATACAAAATGCATGGGATTGTGCTTGTGCTGATGACACTGGTGTCAATGTAAGGCATGGCCTAAGCATTGTCCCCTGTCTTGATGTAGTGACAGCCTTCACTTTCACTCCTGGAAACAAGAAATTGCTCTGCTGTCCCCTTGCACCTCTCTGAAAGCCCTCTTGGCTAATTTATTCCCAGGATGGAGACCTAGTCACTTGAGTGTCCTTGGTCAGCTGAGGATGTTCCATGTGATTTGCCTGATGTCATAGAATCATAGAATAGTTAGGGTTGGAAAGGACCTTAAGATCATAAAGTTCCAACCCCCCTGCCATGGGCAGGGACACCTCACACTAAACCATGCCACCCAAAGCTCTGTCCAACCTCGCCTTGAACACCACCGGGGTGGAGTATATTCACAACTTCCTTGGGCAACCCATTCCAGTGCCTCACCACCCTAACAGGAAAGAACTTCTTCCTTATATCCAATCTAAACTTCCCCTGTTTAAATTTAAACCCATTACCCCTTGTCCCGTCACTGCAGTCCCTAATGAAAAGTCCCTCCCCAGCATCCCTATAGGCCCCCTTCAGATACTGGAAGGCTGCTATGAGGTCTCCATGCAGCCTATTGTTTTCCAGGCTGACCAGCCCCAACTTTCTCAGCCTATCTTCATATGGGAGGTGCTCCAGTCCGCTATTCATCCTCGTGGCCCTCCTCTGGAGTTGTTTCAACAGATCCATGTCCTTTTCATGTTGAGGACACCAGAACTGCACACAATACTCCAAATGAGGGCTCACGAGAGCAGAGTAGAGGGGCAGGATCACCTCATTCGACCTGCTGGTCACGCTCCTTTTGATGCAGCCCAGGATACGGTTGGCTTTCTGGGCTGCAAGCACACACTGAAGCTGGCTCATGTTAATTTTCTCATCGACCAGCACCCCCAAGTCCTTCTCCGCAGGGCTGCTCTGAATCTCTTCTCTGCCCAGCCTGTAGCTGTGTCTGGGATTGCTCCAATGAAGGTGTAGGACCTTGCACTTGGCTTGGTTAAACTTCATGAGGTTGGCATCAGCCCACCTCACAAGCATGTCAAGGTCCCTCTGGATGGCATTCCTTCTCTCCAGTATATCAACCAAACCACACAGCTTGGTGTCATCAGCAAACTTGCTGAGGGCGCACTCAATCCCACTGTCCATGTCAGCGACGAAGATGTTGAACAAGTCCGGTCCCAACACTGATCCCTGAGGGACGCCACTCGTTACTGGTCTCCAGCTGGACATTGAGCCATTGACCACAACTCTTCGCATACGGCCTTCAGGCCAGTTTTTTATCCACCGAGTGGTCCATTCATCAAACTGATGCCTCTCCAATTTAGAGACAAGGATGTCGCGTGGGACATGGTCGAATGCTTTACACAAGTCCAGGTAGATGGCATCAGCTGCTCTACCCCTGTCCATCAGTTCTGTAGCCCCATCATAGAAGGCCACCAAACTGGTCAGGCAGGATTTCCCCTTGGTGAAGCCATGCTGGCTGTCACCAAGCACCTTGTTGTTTTTCATGTGCCTTAGCATGCCTTCCAGGAGAATCTGTGCTAAGTTTTTGCCAGGCACAGATGTGAGACTGACTGCTCTGTAGTTCCCTGGGTCATCCATTTCCCCCTTCTTGAAAATGGGGGTTATATTTCCCTTTTTCCAGTCATCAGGAGCTTCACCTGACTGCCATGATTTTTCAAATATGGTGAGCAGGGGCTTAGCAGCTTCACTCACCAGCTCCTTCAGGACCCACAGATGGATTTCATCTGGACCCATGGACTTGTGCACATTCAGGTTTTTAAGGTGGTCTCGAACCAGTTCCTTTCCTACACTGGACCCAAGGTCTTCATTGTCACAGTCCCTGCGTCTGCCTTCCAAGACTTGGGTGGTGCGGTCAGAGCCTTTGCCAGTGAAGACCGAGGCAAAGAAGTCATTCAGAACTTCAGCCTCCTCCAAATCCTGTGTAGCTAGTTCACCTGAGAGCTTCCTGAGGGGGCATACATTCTCCCTAGTCTGTTTTTTATTTGCTATGTACTTGTAGAATCCCTTCCTATTATCCTTAATATCCCTGGCCAAGTTTAATTTTAACTGGGCCTTAGCTTTCGTAACCTGGTCCCTAGCTCCCCGGACAACATCCCTCTATACTTCCCAGGCTGCCTGTCCTTGCTTCCAGCTTTTATAAGCCTCCATTTTCCCTAGAAATTTCCTCAGCAGCTTCTTATCCATCCAAGGAGGTCTCCTGGCCCTCTGCTGCACTTCCTTCTAGTTGGGATGCAACACTCCTGAGCTTGTAGCAGGTGATCCTTGAATATCAAGCAACAGTCTTGGGGCCCCCCTGCCCTCTAGAGCTATATCCCATGGAACCTTACTAAGTAGGTTCCTGAAGAGGCCAAAGTCTGCTCTCTTGCAGTCCAGGGCAGTGAGCTTGCTGCACGCTCTTCTCACTGTCCTCAGGAACTTGAACTCGACCATCTCAGTATCGCTGCATCCAAGGCTGCC